TGAGAATTTTTAAATGATATTTTCATGTACTTCGATTAAAATTATACGTAAAACGGACAAACACGATACGACCTAACCTAACCTACGCTTTATGATTTCTACTAGAAATATTGCTCCGATCGAAACCTCTTTTCGACGGGAATAGACCGTTTTCCGTTGCATTTGTATTCTATTAGTTTGTGAGTTAGAAAGTCGGTTTTTTTAATTTTCCGAGTACTTTTATTTAAACAATTGGCCGAAACCGAAAAAAAATGTAGAAAGTCAACGAAAATAATGGTTTTATTAATTTCGATTTTATTAAAAAAAAAAAAAAAAAGTAACCGTCGGTATCCAATGTCCTTTAACTATTGACTGCCCCGTAGAAAATTTATCCCCGATTAACCGTGTAGTGCAGTATGTGCGCTCGTACAGAGCCTCGCGTTCTTTTCGGGTCCCAATCGTTTGGGAAACGGCAAACATCAAAAGCGCAACGGATAAAGTCGAATCGTATTGTAGTAAAGGTTGAAAAATAGTAAAAAAACAAAAGCGTTGCGCGGATATTTCCCGCGGGCATTTCGGACAATGTCATTATCTCGTTTGCGGCCGCGTTCCGCCGCTGCGAGTTCCGCTGCCGCAGTTCGGCCGCACGCGCATACATTAGATAACGTGTCGAAAACGTTTCTAAACGATCGAGTTGCTGACGAAACGCAGAATTCCTCGCGAATTCCAAAACGGTTTCGCGATAATCGCTCTGCCGGGCCTCTGCGGCGTGCACTCTCACGCGTCCGTCCGTGTATCATTATTGCGATATTAATTAAAAAACGATACGCGGTTTTTTTTTTTTTTTTTATAAACATTGTTAAACCTCCGATTGCCGCGCGCGCGCCATTGTTTCGGATTCCCGTCGACGGCTTTCGGCGCTGTTTACGGGTTCGGTTTTTTTTTTTTTTTTTTTTTTCCCCGTTTCGTTTTCGCCACGCTCGACAACGGAACGCGCAACGTCGGATCGTACAGAAATGACCGCGAGTCGCGCGGGAGTTATCACTAACGAGTGTTATCAATACCGTAACACGCGCGCGGACGGTAATCGCACGCGCGCCGCACAGCCGTAACCGATATAATTGCCGGGCCCGCGCGGACGCCGAGTCTCTCGGACCGCGGCGTAACGGTTTTTCCGCGGTTCCGCGGGCGATCCGTTTACCGCGGACCGGCGATTTTCCCCGGAGGATTTTCCCAAACGAATTCTCGATTATCGTTTTTTTTTTTTTTTTTTTTTTCTCTCCGCTCGCGTTACCGCCGAATCGTCCGAGTTTTTGATTTTTACCCGAACGCCTACTCGCGCGCCTTAACCGGCGTCTACAACGCGAAACGCGATCGCCCGACACCGCCGGCTGTGTATATAATAATAACCGGCAGTTCTTCCGTTCGACATTTTCGATTTTCAATTTTTTGTTTTTTTCTGCCACGCAATAATCTCTAAAGCCCGCAGCCGCAGTTTCCTGTGATTCCGTGTATGTTTTTTTTTTTTTTTTCGAATCCTAAACAAAAAAACAATCGTTTTTAGCGAAATCCAAGACAGCCATTTTATACGAACGTTTACTGCAACGACGAATCGCTAAGTTTCTGTAAACTTTAATATTGGTGAATTGATTGACATTATTCAGTAGTGGCTGCACGAAAACAAAACTAAAATTATCGGAAATTCCGAAAAATGTTTAGAAAAATTTACAATTTCATCATTATCGTTATTAACATTACAATAAAAATTAGTATTTAAAACGTGGTGGTCAAGTGCAACCGTACGGACCGCCGTGTGATCGATGCACAGAAATCTGTTACGTTTGCTCGTAAACAACAATATAATAACGCGCGCGGAACGTTACGTGCGTTGCGGGGAACGGGGTGGTGTACGGCGGGTTTTTCTTTCCCGGCGGCGCCGTTACGGTTTGCTATTCCCGTAACGCGCAAAAGTGAAACCCGTACGGTTCCGGCGACGCGGCGCGCTCGGGTTCAAGGGAATCGGGCGCGGCGATCCTTTCGTCTTTGTCTCGCCAGACATAGCAATTTAGACGCGTCGCATTTCCGATTGGTAGTCTAGTGAGACGAGAAGAATTCGAATTTGTCGTCGAGTCCGCTCGGAATCAACATGACCGCATTTTCGATTTTTAGATTCTGAGCTCGGCGAAGAATTTATTGGTTTCACGACCGATAGATATACCAAATGTAATTATTATGTTTTAGGTTTCCGGGTGACGCATTATTTATTTATTTATATGTTTTTTTTTTTTTACAAAGTTGTTTATTATTATTATTTTTCCTATGTAAACGCTTTTTCTACCAGAAACGTTAATCCGATTATCAAGTATAGCGCCTTTTCCGAGAGCAAATGTTCTCTGTGCGGTACTTTAGAGAGGTAATTTTTTAAAATTCTCATTAATATTCGAGATTATAAGGAAAACCTGGTTCCTTAGGTTAAAAAAAAATAATGTTGTCATTGGCAACCGTTTTTATTTATTTTTTGTTATTATTATTGTTTTCAAATCTTTTTTTAAACAATCATTGTTATCGTGGAAACGCGCATTGTTGTAATAATTTCACCGTAATATAACATATATAATATATTGTTGACAAATCAACACTATCAACTGAACTCCGCTCAGAATCGTTTTTCGTTACCAATGGTTCATCGTTGCTTACAGATAAACATTAAATTACCGTGTGTATCCTATTTTCCAAACTTTCCGCCCACAACTAGTATGACCGTCCTTTTTTATTTCAATTTCTCCAAAAATTAAAATATTCCACTTTTTTTGTAATTACTCCTTTTTCACTATGGGGATTTTAGGATTTATGAGAATAGAATCGAAAATTCGGAACAGTCGATTTCAAGTAGACTTGACGACGCAGGCAAATCTGTTTTCAGAATTTCTATCGCTTCACTAGACCTATCGGTACGTTAGAAATAAAAACGCGTACACATTCCCCCCACGTGTGCAAGACAAAGGCGGAAAATCGCCGTGCTTCCGATCCCCTTAACGAAAAAACCGATAAAATATTATGTACAAATACGAGGGGATTTTCAGGCGAGATGTTGACCCGGGCAGTTATCCGCGCAGACTTAGTCGAAAAGATGTTTTCGGATAAAACGAAAATCGACCGTATCGCATTACGATATTTTTTTTTTTTTTTTTTTATCGTTTATTTATGTATTTTTGTTTGTTCGTGGGTTACCTCGGTGATGCGGAGAAAATAAGTAAAAAAAAAAAAAATTGCCGCCGCCGGTCGGGAGGGTTTTCGGTATTTTTGAACTTAAAATTTCATTTGTTATTTACAGGTCACCTCGGTGATGTCATGGGTGGTGATGGTTTAGTTGTCGCCGGACAACAATACTATTATTGTTGTTATTATCGTTTACACTATTGTCTAGCGTTAGCAAAACGTTACCGGGTCGGCTAGTTTTACATAATTTAACTTTTGTGAAAACGTACGCGAAACACACACCATACATAGCTATCGCATCGCGACTTGCTCGTTTTCGCGCGCAATTAAAAATACGTTCTCTCCAACACGGAGGGACACGGAAAATATTTTGTCGAAAATAACGTTTTCCAAATGTTAACGTGGCCCGAAACGGTTCATCGTTATTACACTTGTTGTAAACGCTGTTTCGGCGCCCGACGCCCTCTCGCGGCGCACTTGCCGACCTCCCGTATATTTATGGGATCGCGCGTGCCGGCAATTTTCTCGGCGTGTTTGGAAAAACGAAATGCCATCGACTGGAACACACCGCTTTCGTACCGTGCGTTTCCACGTTTCCTCTGTTGGCTTTTCCCGCGTCTACGCACTTGTTTCTACATCTTCTCCTCCTCGCGTCCACTCCGGCAAGTATTACTATCCGTTCATCGACCTTATTGTTGACTTCTTTCAAATCGCCCCCCACAACCTAAACCGCGTCGTCCGCAAACGTCATCGTAACGTACGGTTTCGGAAGCTGAATCGTGAAATTAACAATAATACGTTTACGAATTGAAACCGTTTCGCGCGGCCGATGGCTACACTGCAGGTCAAGAAACGAAATGTCCACCGTAAAACGACGGGTACTCTCGGCCGCGCCTTTTGGTTATTCACAATGGCCAATTTAGCCATTGGCGTTTGGGAAAATTAAAACTGTCGGAATGTTTAACGTTCGTAACTGTTTAAATTTTTTTTTTTTCTGCGTTTGTTGAAGTATCCGAAAAACCAAAACCGACGTGGCGAGTTCTCATTTTTCTCAAATATGTGGTTTTTACCGCGCAAAACGGTTCGCGCGGTCGAATCGCAAACGGTAATCGCGCCTCCCGCGAATGCACTCGCACTCGTGTAACAACAAACACAATCGCACTCTTGTATCGGTGTTTCGAGATGGACGGGTACAGTTATTCCGAGATTCGATTGATAAAATGAGGCGTGCCGTCTACAGTCAATATAGGGTGACGAATGATAAATCGCGCGGGTTTTCCGCCATTCCGGGAACCCGTCGATTTCTTTATTGTCTGCGCGCATTAGCCTCGCGTATTTCGTATCGTTCCCCCGTCCCACCGCCCCCCCCCCCAAAGAATTAAAAATAGAAAGCGGCGATATCATAACAACATAAGTGCCTGCCTACATATTATAATGATATGATAATGTTGTTGTTGTTGTTGTTGTTGTTGTCGTCGTCGTCGTGGATCGGACTTTCGGACGGCGAGCAGAGTTTGCGTAATCCCGACGCGGCGGAGGTGGCCTCTAGTGACGTCTGGCGAGAGCTGGCGCGCAACAAACGCCGTCGGCCCGGTAAAGTCGCGGCGCGCACTTTGCGAACCAATTGCCGCGGTCGAATTCCTCTGCGGTCGGGCTAGGTGTTCGGCGGCGGTGGGGGAGGCCGCGTATAGAAAGTCGCGGTCGGGCGCGCGAGACCAGAGAAACCTGCGGCGGGGCAACGGCGGCGGCGGCGGCGGCGGCGGCGACGACGACGACGACGACGAAGACAACAACAACAACAACAACAATTCAACATGGCCGACCGCCGCGATTGTCGTCGCGCGTAGGCACACTCCCGGAGCGTAACGCAACAACGGCGGCGGTTCAGTTCGCTCCGACCCGACGTACCGTCCGGCAGCAGTTTGCAGTGCGCGCGTCCGTTACCGCGTTCGATCCGCTCCGTGTACCCAGAGTCGTGTACCCGCCAGTAATACCCCCGGGTGTTTTTTACGGTGCCGTGCGTCCGTGTAACGTCGTCGTCGTCGTCGCGCCGGTCCGGCGGTTATCCCGAAAATCGGGTGCTCTTTTCCTCCCGTCCGGCCGAACCGTTCCGGCGGCGGGCCGGAAAAGACTCGCGCTCCCGTTATGGTGTACCGGCCGCCCCCGTCGCCGATACACTTCCGGACGGTGTCGCGTCACCAGCAACCGCACAGTTCGGCCGGCTCCCGATGAAATCGTCGAAGGCGACGGCGGCCGCCACCGGGCCCCGGATTTGGGCCCGGGCGGCGACCGTCGCGATGCTTGTCGTGCTGTACGCCCCGCAGCCAGGTCGGTGTAAAACAAAAATAATAACCGCCGCTCATAATCATAAATACTCTGTATGCCTCGGTTTCGGTCGAGTAGAGTCAAGTGTTCCGAGTACAGAGTTAAGGTCTAAGACGCAAAAGCTACGCGCGTCGGCTATCGTACAGACCGGCGAACCGTTCGGAACACCCGAGTTCGCACGCTTTTACCGAAACGCGTCGCGCGTCGAGGCGTTTTAGATGTTCCGAACGGAGCGTTTTACTAAGCGGGACGTGGGTTTTTTTCCCGTCCGTGAACGAGTTTTCGACCCGCGGGAGGTCAGGTAAGACTCGCAAAATACAAAACACAAGTGGCGGGAACTTTTCCCCAACCGTTTCTGGTCTAGCTGGCGTTTTCGTTGAAAATTCCATTCTTACCGTTTTGAACGGGAAAGAAAACACGGGGGAAAATAGGTCCTTTTTTTTTTTTTTTAATGTTGTCAATTTCCGAGTTTTCTCACCGGTCAACTGTTAGGAAACATTTGCGCGACAAACCGTCAATTCTTAATACCGGCGGCGCGTCTACTGCGCACGCGTTTGTACCGAAATCTCGAGACGAACGCTTAATATATTATCGATAACAGGCGACGTTTTCTCGACATTTTGTTTGCCGTTCGATCGGTCCGGCTCGGGTTTTCGGGCGAACCAGACCCGTAACCTTTAACCGCGCGCGGCGGATGCCTACTGTTCAATTATCGTTCCGAGCGCGTAGGTACCCGCTGCGAGGTTTCGGACGACGCCCAAAAGCGTCTGAGGTCGTCCCGCCCCGGTCGTTTCGTCGCCTCCGTACGCATTGTATTGTAATTCATATTATTGCGTTGTTATAGGACCTGTGATTTTCGAACGCCGGTCAAGGCGCTTTCGGCCGGGTTTATTTATTTATTTAATTTTTTTTTTTTGTTTGCCCGTCCTCTCTTACCCGCGAGACGACGTCGTCGTGACGAACGGCCTCGGCGTTTGCGCAACGTCTCCCGCGACGCGTCCGCGGGTGTCCCGGGACGCGCTCGGGGTCCCCGAAAACCGGGCGATTCTCCCACCGCAGCCGCCGCGCGCTACGCCCGGGGCGTTGAAATCTCCGGCGCCGTCGCCCGGTACCCGCGTAGCAGCACGTGCAAGTCGCAGAGTCACCGATGACGACGGACTTCGTTACGACCCGCGCTGGATACGTTTTTTTGTTTTTCGGTTTTTTTTCTCTCTCCGAGGCCGAGGAGCCGTTTTCGCTTTTCCTTCGAGATATTTCGCCGTCCATTGTTCGGCACTGTCGTTTGCGTAACGTCGCCCGCGTCGACGGACCTCGCGCTGGTTACGCAACCGCGAGCGTTAAACGCGCCGTGATAATAAACCGACGACCGACACAATAACAAGACGTCGACGAGAAAACGCCGAACTCGATAAAACGACAATATTTGAACCGTCCGAAAATCGACCGCGAGTTCTGAACACCGACCGTCCTCCGTACGGAAATCGAAATTTACAAACCGGTTCCGTCGCGTTCGCCAATAAAGCGCGTAAATCGCATTACCCCCCCCCTTCGCACAACCGCCATCCAACATACGCACCAATCTCCTGTGTCGGTAGTACGAACGAGATTCTGTTTGGTACGTTCACCGGGCTAATAAATCGGGTGAGGTTTGTCGCGTTCGGGCTCAAGAAATTATCGAGACTTCCCGATATCCTATAGCGGTAATCCGATACAAGTATCTATGTTGTATTTCATCTCGGACCTATTAAATCCAGATTAGCGGCAGTAGTGACGGCGCAAAATGATTATAATTCTTATAAACATATTTTATGTAAATAATAATTGGCGATTTAAATTTTCATGACGGTTTTCAAAAAGTCGGAAATGTCATCGCGCACAATTTACCTTTCAAATAAATCCCTTGACATAATATAGTAACGTTTAACCCACGCAATTATATTGTAAAACTGCGTATTACCATTCGCCCGTATCGATATTATTTTATGCTGCCACAGAACCTCTAGGAATTACAAATACATTTATCTCGGTAAAAAAACGTGCATGTTCGTCTCGGATTAAACATTTTGTTTTACTGCTTCAGCGCGAGTGTTGTTTGAACGTTTTCCAACATTCGTTGATTTTGTCATGTTTTTTTTTTTATTTTTTTATTTGAAAAATTTGTTCGATTTTGCCCGAACTACTCTTTTGAATACCTTTAGAGTGGCTAGAGTTTTTACAAATTACTATGTACTTGTAGTTTCAAACAAATAGATTTACACACAATATATACATTATACATCGTTACATCAGTCATTAATTATGCTGTATGAACGTACGATAAAATGAATAAAAATATTATAGCGTATAGGTACCTACTATTGAGTTTTTAATTATTTTAGCGCATAACTGCGGCTGCGAAGGTGCAGTGATACCAATCGTTACAGCGACAAAAATTGATTATGTCGAGAAAAATATGTAAAAATCAAATTTTCAAAGAAAATGGAAAATCTTCGGAAAATTTCAATGAAACAAAAAATGTTCGAATGTTCAGTTTTCAAGCTTACGTCTCTAGTAATAATAAATATTGTTATTAAGGCGCCTTTGTGCAGTTTACACGCAATTTGTTTTATCTGTCTGCCTCGACGATTGCGACTCTCTGGATGAGTTTAGGGCAATAATGGAAAAAGGTCCTTTTCCCCTAAACCCATTTACATTTATAACTCTTCTACTCAGTCTACGTTTTACATTTTTTTTAAAAACATGTAACTTTTTTGTAAGGCGGCAAAATCTCTTGAGACTTATATAGGCCGAAAAAAGAATAAAAAAATTAGTAATTATTAGTCAAGAAATGTTAATTTGTTTTGGTTAACTATGTTTTCGTCCGAAAATCAAAAGTTCGTACATTTTAGAACATTATAATGTTCAATCCACAATGTAATTTATGTAAATCTTTTCGTTTTGAACTGACATTTAAAAAATTAAAAAATACATACGTTTTCATTAAATTATTCCAGTAATACGAGTACTATTAAAGTAGTGTAACCTCGCCCGATGATATTGCCAGAGTGGAACTTGTTGATTTATATTTATTACATCGGAATAAATCTTAAAAATATCTCGTTTTACCGCGATTGTCAAGATAATTTTAAGACGTAAAATAAAAATCCCGTAAAAAATCTATTTGCCAAGGTCATAATGCATAAAATGCAAGTTTGGATTAAAAAAAAAAAAAAACACGAGTTGTTTGATTTACAATTGAAATTTCGAATAAAATCTTTTTACAATATACATATATTCGATTTTAAACTACGCACGCTAGCTGTTAACGTTAAATATTATTGTGGATATTGTGTGCAACTTGCGCTCAACAAATTACGACTTTTTTTTTTTTTTGCTCGATTCGATTGGATCCGACGTTAAATCGCTAGTCGCATTTCCGGATTATTATGATTATTTATTTTTATTTTTTGTATTTAATACGGGACAAGCCCAGTTTACATTGAATTTACTTTTATGTTTGTACAATTAGTTGATTGCATGATCTTAACGTTGACAATTAAGTAAAAATGGAAGGGTTACAGTTAGCGGTCCACATTAGACGGTTGATGGATGAGTTTTCAAGGAAGTTAGAAGACGAATGGAGCATGGAATCGAGTGGATCGAGGTGGGACTTAAAAATTAATGACGGTGAGAAGAGGGGTTATAAGCCCCAACCGACATATCTCTATACACGAATATTCGATTTAAATTTATACTATATAGTCGTTTTCATCGCACAACTACATACGTTACTAAGTTTGTACGTAGGATTTTTAAGGCGTTTTTAATTCTCGATATTTCCAGAGGTATTTCACACGCGCTCATATCGCTTCAAACGTCGCGAATGTAATAACGTTCTTGCCTTTAAAATTGTACGCTCAATATTCACATTATAAAATACAATAAAACCAGAGATCCAGGGGATCTGAACCACCTCCTCCCTGAACACCGACATAATTTCAATAAAATATCATCTATAAAAGAGGTGTTCCATATAATTGTTCGGAACCCCCTCCCCCCCCCAGAAATCCGCCAGTAAATAAAGTTATTATTATTGTTATTGTACGTATCGGCCAGTGTCCCACAGAAGAAATTCACTAATCAAACAGAATGTAAAAGTTGATTTTCCTATAATATTATAATTGATGCCTTTCTCTTTTTTTATTTTTTTTCCGTCCACCTGAACGCTCAACGAGATTACACGAATGTACTCGATTTACTCGAAATATAATAATACAATATCATTAAAGTTATAACGTGTATACCGCGCGGGTATACTCGACCATCGAAACCGGTCATGGTGTTGTTGTTTTATTATTTTAAATATTTTTTTTTTTTTTTTTTTAAATATCGTTACAGTTTTACGCTGTTACTCGCGTATAGCCACCGCTGCGGCGGTCGGGCGATAGAAAATCCCCGTGTTCGGTGCAGAGTGCGCGGATCGATTGTTATGTCGCACGCGTTATGTATACAGTCTAATGAAAACGATCTGTTGTGATCGAACGCTGCCGCAGGGCTTAGGCGATTTTCTTTCGTTCGAAATCGGCGTGGAAACCGACGGGAAGTGTTACGGCGTCGTCGCCGATAGAAAATTAAAAAAAAAAAAAAAAAAAAACGACCGTATTTATGCCTCGGAACAAGTACCCGGCCAATCCGCGACGTCGCGACGGCCGTTATCGGTACCCGACGACGGTAACAATAATTGCGTGTTATACTCGCGCAACGCTGCGAACGAGACGGGACACGTCCGATCCGACCGAGATCGCCGATTTTTCGTGTTCGGACCTGTGCGCGATATCATTCGAGGTCGAACATCGCGATCGTAACGACAACAATCAAACGTGCGCGTGTCCGGGTGACGTATCGACGTACGATACGCGCAGCCGGTCTATCGCGCGTGTCGTTGTGCGCCGCGCGCTCTCGAAATTCCGTCGGGAAATCGCCGGTACGACGCGCGGGCGGCACACTCGTGAACAGCGACGTTTGTCGTTACGGTGTACAGTTATAATAATAATAATAATAACGACGCATTTTGCAAAAAAAAAAAAACCCCGGGCGACGCGTTCCACAGACACTGCGCGCGTAAATCGAATCGCGCCGCGCCGTACGAGTCCGCGAGCTCGTGCCGGGGCGGCGGCGGCGGCGGCGGCGGCGTTTATTGTCGACGATTGCAATCGTACCCGCGTATCGTTGCCCACACGTTGTGCGTTGAACTCCCGTCCGCGGTTCAACCTCCCCGACCGGCCGCCCGCGACGGCGGCTGCACCCGCGCGTGCGAACCACGTCCGTCGTTTTTATTTTTTATTTATTAACGCGAGCTAACTCGTAATCGCCGCGCGAAGTTTACACAGCGACGTCGTACATTTTTCGGGTGGGGGGGGGGAAGAGGAGGGGGACGTTTTTCTGCGGTACGCCACCCGGTCACACCCCCCTCCGCCCCTCCCGCACTGGAACGCGCGCGATTTGAAAGCCGCCGCGGTATCCGCGTAATAACATCGTTGTACTGTAAACACTCCTCTCGCCGCGGTAAACTCGCGATTGTATAAGATCGGTACCGGACACGAGGATACTATCATTATCGTTATCGTTATGACAATAATAATAATAATAATAATAATAATAATAATAATATGATTATCGTTATTCCGATACGTTCACCTTGAGCCGGCGCGCGTCTCGGCGTGACACAATAATCGTACCCGCGGCCAACGTTACAACGTTACACCCGCCACCGTGCCCACACGACGGGAATATTATTATCCGCCGCCGTCGCTCGGACCGGTTGCCGCCCGGACGCGCGTTGACGAAACGCACGCGGTCCCGGCACTGCGCGCGGAAAACAACGTGTGGCCGTTTCAAAAACTACCTCTATGGTAGACACGGCCCGTTCGGTCGTAATACGTGGTGGATTCGGCACCGGTTTCGTGGGCGAATGTGTGGGTTCCGCACACGAGACGTCACAGGTAGATGATGAACATTGAGACGGAACCGAGCTCGACGCAAATGGAAATGGCATCCCCACGTGATTCTGTGTAATAATTGTTATTTCTGTTTGTGTAGGAACTTTGTGTTAAGTTCGGGGATATTTTTTTTCGCGTCGGAACTTACACATGAATCCGCTATTGCCTGCTATGCTTCGTGTGGGAACTTACCGAGCCCCGATTTCGTTCGGGGACTGGTCGATGGTCTAGCCGATACGACCCCGAGGCTTCTCGAATCGCTAGATTTTCGTTTTCCTGTATTTACACGGCAATACGGTAGATTTCGGGGTTCTTTTTATTCCCCCCCCCTCCCCCCGAAGATAAATGCGACACAACGCAAATTCACTTTGATACATTCGTACGTAGGCGTATGCGTAATTTTTCTCGTGTCTATAACGATTTACATCGCGTTTATTTCTGTCATTGCCAATCCGAGTTAATCGAATATAGAGTTTTGTCGAACAACCGATGTTGTTGTGTTACGTTTGTATTTATATTCTCGTATAATATATCATGCTATATTGTAAAAAAAATCCGATTGACATTAGTTCTAATAAAATAATTAATGAGCCGTCTCGTAAAACGGCGTCTCGACGGATTGGTGCGGTCATCGTTCTATTATTACTGCGTAATAAAAACGTTACCGGGTTCGCGTTTCTCCTCCCCCCCCCTAATTTTATCTAAATACTCGTCGTCGCTTTTTTTTTTTTTAAGTTATACGGCGTTCTAACTTTACAAGGACACTGACTTCCTCGAAGCGGTATCCGCGCGTGGTTCGGATCGACTACGCGCATAGTGTTCAATTTAATTTTGCTCGGAGAACAAAGAATCGTTGCCGGTATTAAAAGGGAGCGTCATGTAGGAATGGGAGTTCGGGGGTTGCGACCTTCTACAAGGTTGACAATATGGGCTATAGAGAATACACGGAAAAAGTCGGGTAAAATTGACTACCGATAGGGTTCCGTTGCAGTCTCATAATAAAAACTATATTTTGAAAAATTAAAAAACGTATGTATGTATTTTATAATTTTTATAAGTGTCTCAGGAGAAACGGATTCCTTTATTATGATAGATATTATTGTATGCGGTTTGAATGAACCGAAAAGTTGACTGCATTTGAGTACGTTGCGAAATTTCGAATAACTTACATCCCTTTTGGAGTTATTATAATAATATTGTATTTTAAATATGTTTAAACATTTCGGCCGTAAAAAGGGGCATTTACTATGTATACACACATACACACTATATAGCCTATTCTTTGTACGTTTTACTATATCGAATTCGCTAAGCGTTAAAAAAAACGAAAAGATGCCTGTTCTAAAACAGCTGAAAAAATAAAGGGGATCGTCCCCCTTGGATTTGAGCATCGCCGTAAGGACCCGGGCGCGAAACGTTGCGAGTAAAAAACGCCCGTGACCGACAGTGTGGTGGATGTAAACGATTTTCGGTGACCGCGAAGCAAAACGTTTGCGAACAAAACGATTACAGCGTCGTAATCATAGACTAAACTAGGGGGAGCTTGGGGGTTTTAGCGCTATAGCGTTTATTGTCTAGTCGCGGCTGCGGCCATAATAATCGTATATTTTCGGCATTCGTGTTCGTCATCCCGCGTCACTCGTGTGATAGTCGTTAAGTTTTTACGTTTTGTTCAATCGCGATTCGAAAAGCGTCGTTTTAAAAACGGATTATGTCCGCCAGACGGTAAAAAAAAAACGGTTTATATTACTAATAAAATAAACGGTTCTTATCGGTACCCGCCTACCTGGAATACACGACACAGTTACCTTACTTATACCAGAGACGGCTTATTGTTTTTTAAAACATATGCCTTAAGTTTTAATGATGTAATGTATTATATTTCAACATTTCTTCAAATTGATAGTAATTGCCAGTCACAGCTATAATAGTAGCAGAATTGATTAACTATGCTTAATTAAGCAGTTAGCAGTAACAACACTGGAACACTGCTATAGATCACTGTCGGTCATCTATACCTATTATCTAGTAAGGTAGTAACCGGTCGTTTAATCCAAGTAGGTAGTGATAAGAACCGTTTATTTCGCTAGTGACATAGACAGTTTTTTTTTTTTTTTTTTACTAAAAATTGTTTTACTATCCGGTTTTACTTCCGACCTACGACCGGGCTGTAATTATAATAATATTACCACAGCTGCGACGTCGTTGACGCGCGCGTCTCGTGCCACAACCCGTAAGTCGAACGGCGTATCGATTAGGTGGCATGACGACGGGCAACGGGCCGCGGGCCCACGACATTTGGGGCCCCGAATCCGGGCCCAAAGCAGCGTTATAGGTGAATAGAAAAAAAAAAAAAACAAAAACAATTGCGATGAGAGTGGGACGGACATGACGTCGTGTACGCAAACAGACAAGTCGAGCGCGGCAACTCGGATCGCGTATTGTCGGCCCTCAATATTCGGTCGACCCGAATGTCTCGGTAGTCCTCATATAGTTGCGCAGCCGCCGCCGCACAACGCGCGCATAAAACCGCGCGCGCTCTCGAACCGATTCCGAACGCGTCGCCCGCCGCCGCCGTGTTGCCCGCCCCTACGTCGCATGCGTGCGGCCGACGGCGACGCGTACCGGTTAAACGATTATTGTTGTGGAGCGCGCGAAATGTCGCGCGTTCGGCAACCGCGAACTGGGTCGCGTACATGACCGGCGCGCGTCTTCTCCGCCGTCGCCGCGCGCGTGTTCCGACGACGAATCGGCGGTTCGTTCGTGTCGGAACGACACGATATTATTATTATTGTTGTTGTTGTTGTTGTTATTATAATCCGCGGCACGTACGGGAAATCCGCGCTCTCCGGCACACCAGTTGGAATTTATGTCGCTCGCGCGCGACGCGCCGCTGCAGCACTTCGGGCCCGTGCGATGTACACGGCCGTGCCGGCCGCATTGTGACGGCGTCCGAGCAAAAATATACGGACGCGCGGTCTTTGTGCGCGAGAAAAAAAAAATAAATAAATACCGAAGAAACATAACGTATAACGTATTGTTGTCCGCGACGGCTCCGCTAAATAGCCGAAACATTTCGTCGGGGTCGCGTGCGACGGACGGCCGCGACGGATTTTCCGCGGCCGGCGACGTTGCGGCGGTGTACGGCGGCATCGTAATACGGCCGCAGGTACTTTTGACGCGTGAGAAACTTGCCTGGGAATGATCCGAGCGGTTTTTTTTTTCCAACGGTACTTCCTTTTTCTCTATTTGTCCAACGCGCATGCGCAACGGCACGGCGGTTTGGACTGGTCTTTCGTCCGTCGGCGCAACCATAAGTGTTCGGAAAACAGATTTCAGTCTTCAACCGCGCGCGACACTTATTCGAATTTCGGCGGAAATGTACGAAAACGAAAAAATAAAAGAACGAACACACTTCGCACGTGGGTGCAGCCATCACTTTTGTACGCGTAAAGTTGGGAACGCAGGATACAGACGGGAATTTAATGTATATCTTACAGATGTAAGCGACGAAAAAACCATTGCAAACGAGAAAACGTTTCCGAGCGGAGTTCAATTGATAGTGTGGCTTTAACAACGCAATATATATTTATGTCATATTATGGTAAAATGATTACAACAATGTGCGTTTCCGTGACAACAATGATTGTTTAAAAAAATAGTAAAATAGTAAAAACTTAATGATGACAAAGAATAAATAAGGTTTAACGAGGTTTTCCTCGTTATTTCGAGAATGAGAATGAGAATTTCAAAAAATGAACCATCCAGATAATATTACCTTTCAGAAATGGTGTTATCCTTGATAATCGGAGTAAGCTTTCTGGTAGAAAAAGTGTTCAGATAAAACAAAAATCTTTGCGAAACCGATACATTCCTCGTTCCACTCGGAATCTAAAAGTGGCCTCGCGTACGGTTGGCGCGTCGCTCAATTGAAAATCCGTTTTCGGCGGGTACTCTTATCGCTTCACCGCGTCAGTCGCGGGCTGGCGGACGAAAATTCGGTCTAAATCGCTGCTTTACGTATTGGACGAAAAAAGATAAAGGAATCCCCGTTCCGTTTCGAATTTTGCGTTGAAAAAAGGTCTTTCTTTTTATAAGCTACCGTCAAACTCCCCCCGTCTATATCCGCGACCAATTGCATTTTCCATTTTTGTGTCGATTGACACTTCTGAGACGTAACGTCTCGGACGTCTTTCGTTACCCTTTATGCGAGTCCAGCTACCCGCGAGTTCCTCCTGTTGGTCTGCGTTCTGTCGGGCGTCTAAGTATAGGACGTTTCGCCTTTACACGAGAACGCGTATTATGGCATTTGGTTTGTTGCGTATGCCGACGTTTCGTTCGTCTTTCACGGGTATTGGCCATTTCTATTTCGAACGCTTTATAATAAACACATTGTACTTACGTTATATTAATTATACGGTTTTTAAATGTTTTTTTTTCTTCGGGTCGCGCACCACGGGTACCTGTCGATTTCTCGGTAAGCGTTCCGTTGAGTCATTTTCAAAAAAACAACGATCGGTTAATTAGTTTATCCTTCTGCGTCGGCTACAATTACGCACGTATACCATACAACATCATTAAGGTGAACACGTAAATGTACAAACTGTGGATTACCTAGGAAATCGTAAAAAAAAAAATTGCAACCGTACGTGAACTTATCAATTTAAATTCAAGGGCGGAATACCATTGCGCTGCAGACACGACGGTTGTTATGTCTGTTAGTTATTTTTTTTTTTACAAGTTTAATTATGATGTACGCGCGTATGATTAGTAATATACGTGAAATATTATGTATATAGTGCGATTTACATTAATTTCTTTCGGCGATCGTTATTAGTTCCGAGCGTGTCCGGTAAAAAATTGTTTTTTAGGTGCACGTTGTATTTTACGGAAACGTGCAGTACAGTCATGAGTTACCGAGAAGGAAATACGAGTAATCAATATAAATTATAAAATATTCGGTTTTAAAACCTGCAATTTATTTTTGGAACTTACAAAATTTGATTTTAAATATGACTCCGGACACCATAGAGTTTTGATATAATATTTTATATTATTCATTCACCTGAGGCTTCAGCTTTGCGGTACTTGATCCGGGTTAAAGAAAAATCGCGATGATTTTATCGGTGGGTACCTCGCTAAAAATTATGATTAAAAAAAAAAAAAAAAATGTAACATCGCATCTAGTTGATTCGCATGCGCAAACGAGATACAAATTATGTACACGTTTCTTATCGTTTTTTTTTTTTACGTTTTTGGTACACTCGAGGGTATTTTATCGAATTATTAAAAATTGCATAAAGTTGCTATATGTAATTAATCTGTCGGTTTTAACAAATTTTACAAAACTGCGGCAAGTGACATGTTACCCGAGAAAAACTACCAACCAAAGCAGATCAACGGTTCTACAAGCGGGGATTTCGGGCAGAAAAATTGTTTACAAAATCTTACATACGAATTTTCGAGTTTTTGTTGGGTATCCAACGCGTTATATTGAACAATAATTTCGAGCACGTACACAAAATCGCCGTCACTTTTTCGCCATTGCGGTAATCGAAACCGGGTTTTGCGATTTCGCGTCGCAGTTTATCCTGTTCGCCAGAACGAACGTACCGGTTTTCAAAATCAATGACGGGGCGAGCGCCGCGAACGAAAATGAGATTTTGCTACTTCCGACTCGCGACCGCGGATTTCCAAAAACAGCGAAACATATCGTACGACGACCGGAACAAAATATTGAACGCGCGCGACCGCCGTCCATTTTCCGAGAGTATAATATTATCTTACGACGTATCGCTATTATGATAAAAAACTGTTTTTTTTTTCCGCGCCGGACGCCGTTGCGATGCAGTCGCGTTACGAAACATTGTTTCGTACGATGCGTTATGACACCGTACGATTATAGTGTGATATATATTATACATTCATAAAAAAAAAAAAAAAACGGTTTTTTTTTTTCTTTTCTAAACACAATTACCTATACAATATTACATTATAACGTATATATTTATAGAGCCGACGGACGCGCGTTGTGCGCAACAGCACAAAACTGTCCCGTTAATTTCGTTGCGTGCGTTACAATATGATTATTATTACTATCGTATCGAACGTATATTTTATTATACATATACTCTTTGGAAGAAAAAAAAAAAAAGAAAGAAAAATAAGTGTATAGGTGTATTGAAAACCGTCACAATGGACATTATTTCCGTCGTCTTCCGGTCTTCGAATCGCCAAACTCTCGCCGTAACGTATTGCGCGGGAATAGATTGTCCGCCGCGAACGGACCGTTTCCGCGCCTTTAGCGTACTTGCTGCCGAGGGGATGGTGATGTGGCACATCCTTCTGGATGTGCCCCCGAGGATCTCCGAGGATGCTCTACTCCGGACAGTTTTGGTTATTCGAGTTGCTCCGGTGTATTTTATCGTCCCGAAAAACCGCACGTAATGCAATTTGTTTCCGGCCGCGGCACTACTACACCGTACCTACGGCGGTTTTCATGAAAACGCAAGAACGCACACTTTGCCACGCTTTTGTTCGATGCCGAAACCGAACGAAATCGTTTTTTCGCGTGCCGAACAGGTCACCGACCCTCCCCCTCTCGTCCACCTACCATCTCGCAAAAGAAAATGGCATATACTGGAAGTGTTTTTTTTTTCCTCGTCCGTTTCTTCCTCGACAACGCGACTCCCGTGTTATTGTTATTACGTACACGTATTGTCGTATACGTTTATACGCGTGACGCGTTCGTGTAGACTCTGTATCGGAGAAAAATCAACACTCGGACAAATCGAGAGTATGTAATACAACGTCGTTGTAAATCGTTGCACAGCCGACGACGACGGCAGCACACGTGAAAGTCGTCACTAGCACGGCTCTCCGTGCACCGCGTTTCTCAATCAGAAAGCATAAAATTACAGCGTACGGGCGGGCGAACGTCCGTGTCCGTGCCGATGTGAATGCGTTTACTAATTGAGTTGCCGGTTAATTATTCAGGTGTTACACCGGGTTATGCTAATTTCCCGCGTGTTAACGCTACAGACAATACTGTCGTACGTGTTAAATTGGTAAATCCGTCTACGAAATTTTTCTTTAGACACAAAGATTCGGATTTTCGAAAAAAAAAAAAAAATGCGTAGAACATCCACCCAGCGAAAACGAAACCGAACAGTTGTAAATCTATTTTTTTATCATTTGTTTTTTTTTAATTTTTTTATTATTATTATTCTAAGTGTAGCGTGGAATGTATCGGTTTAACAATGCGCGAACAGCTTTTAATTACCAGAAATCTCGTCTATAGAGAAAATTTTATCTACACAGTTAGTGTATTAGTTGTTTTTCCTTTGAGTTAATTATTACAATTGGAGAAAAACGAAGATTATTAGAAATAATCATAGAGAGCTGAAATTCCAACGGAATACTAGCCAATTATTGACCACATGGTGAAATCGTCAACGCTTAAAAATGTAAATGTTTGAGCTAAACAAAATCGTTTCGGCCTATGCTTGAAAATCGCACACACGGTTTTTTTTTCTTTTTATTTATAAGCGTATAAAGTTCAAATATCGGTTCGAAAATCGTATGAAAACCACGCGACGCTTCAAAACGTGTTTGACCGCCGAATGTCGTAACGACTCCGCGCGCGCGCGTCCCAACACCTTCCCGGCTTCCCGTCAACAACAGCGTCACGCCCGTCAGCGGTAACGGCGGTTTTCATTTTTTTTTTTTTTTTTTTTTTTTCGTTTCTTTTGTTTTCTGTTGACGTTGTAACAACTACGGGACGTGTCTTCGACGGATTTTTTTTTTTCTTCTGTTCGCATAACACATTGAAGTTACGCGCGCACGCGGTTTTCGCCTCTCCAATTGAAAAACCGCGCGGTCTTTCGAAAAAACGCTTACGTCACCCGCACGGCGCGGGCGTCGCGTACGTTATTATCGCGTGCGCGTACACGTCGCGCGACGTGTTACACCGTGGCGGCGGCGGCGGCGGCGCTCTCGCTCGCGCGCGGGGACGTCGTCGTCGCCGTCGTCGTCCGCAACGAAAATCCGTCGATTTTTCACGGAAACCCGTCGGTCGCCGCTGTGTGACGGCGTAATAACGGCACCGGCGATTGTGCGACAGTGTAACGGTCCGAAACGACGCGCGATGTTATTATCGGTATTATTATCGTGTTATCATTACTCGCGCGCCCTCCCCCCGCCGCCCGCCCGTACGCGGGGTGCCGCGACAATAACGCGCGGCCGCGGTGGCGCAACAGCTCCGCGGCGGCAGCGCCACCCGGAATCTGTTTGCGTTGCGGTAACGGCGTGTTAGGCGCGGGCGCGCGGCGAATACGAACAGTAAATTTCGCGTTGTTCGCGCGGACCCGTTTCGTCCGGGGAAATCGCGTGTTCGATACGCGCGCGAATAGACGAACGCAAACGGGTCCGGGCGGAATGCAGACGACAGTGTTTACCGGTGACGCGTAACGCGCGGGCCGCGATGTACGCGTCGGCCGCCGCGGATTTCCGTTCGCGGATTTCGGTGTTACGCGCGCGTTATTTAACGCCGACGGTACGCCCGAAACGGCGATCGGGGACAATCGATATTCGACGGATCGCCCGTGCAACGACACCGGGCGGATAAAAGGCAAACGCCTGAAAGACGCTGGAAACAAAGTAAAAGGGAAAAAAAAAACCCATTCCGTGTCGGAGAAACGCGACAGTAAACGATATGGAATAAACCGAGTGTTTTTTTTTTTTTTTTGTTTTTTTTCTTTCTCGGTTTTTCCGCTGGGTTACATTGCATTTTTCTCTTTTTAGATTCCGAGCGGAGCTACGAATGTATCGGGTTTACAATGATGTTTATTTTTTTTTTTTATGCGAACGTTTTTTATACCAGAAATCATACTGCGATTGTCAAGTACGCGGCGCCTTTTTCCGAAAAGAAAATATGTTCTCTGGGTGGTACATCGGAAAGGGCATTTTTTGAAATTCTCATTAATATTTGAGATGGTGAGGAAAACCTGGTTCTTTAGGTTAAAAAGATTGAAATATTTGTATTATTTTAATCTTTTTTAAACAATCATTGTAGTTATGAAAACGCACATTATACTTTAATATGACATATATGGTATGTATATTGTTGACAAAGCATTACTATCAAGTATCAACTAAATTCGGCTCAGAATCGTTTTTAGTTAGCAATGGTTTATCGTCGCTTACAGATGTATATTAAATTCTCTTCTGCATTCTACGTTCCAAACCTCCCACCTACAACAGTGGCCGCACCCACGTGCGAAATTGCCCGTACATTTATTTATTTTTCATTTATACTTTACATTTATTTATTTTTTTTTTATTATACCATACTACTATAATTAAATTACTTGCATTTTATTATCTTAATATTATCAATTTTAATGTTAAATAATCTATATGTCTCTTTTGTTGAATACCAATGTGAATTAGTGGAATTCAAAACCCCCCTCTCCTCTCGCCACAAGCTGGCTTAAAGAGAGAATAATCAACTCGTATTATATACAAATTTTTAATTTGAAATTCTATATTATCATTCTTCGATTCTTTGCGATTTTTTTTTACGTAAAACTCAATTTTAAATTCTGAACGAGACGTACTTTTTTCCTCAGAAAGCCTTTTTTTCTGTCAGCAAAGAGTGAGGAAATTATTGTCGTTTGACGGTTGTTTCACTTGTAATATATAATTTGAAATTCTCCGCAGTTCAGTTACAGTTAGATCGGTTCTTCTTTTTGTTTTGCTTTTCACGAAAAACACGTTTTTCGGTAAATACAATTTTCACCACATCGTCCTAACCAAGAGACGCGGATTACGTTATGGAGTTTTCGGGCCGTGTATACTTTGTTTGAAAATTACTCAATTTTGCTTACCGAATTATTTTCCCGAAAATAGAGATTATCGCGCTGTATCGTGTCTGTTATATAAATACATATAATTTCCCCGCTACTATACTGGACACGTTCACCTCCTGTGGACCGAATGATTTCGAACTCGACAGTTGTTTTATATTAAGCGGATCGATTCGATAAAATGTTGGTCAAATTTCACCGTGTAGTATTGTGGTAGTTATTTTTTAGATTATCCCTATAAACCTTCCCGTTCCAAGTAAAGCCAAAGAGATGAAATTTCATCCACGCGTTATGGTATTTTATTGACAAAAAATATACAATTTTTCGTTTGTGGGTAAAATATTTCCGCGTAAATTATCTAAACGTACAGTTATTATGACTAGGACTTTTTGAATCGCACGACATTGCTGCCGCTGCATTACAAGCACATTTTTTCACTGCCACGACCAGTTTTACAGTTGCGTCCTTTAAATAATCCCCGACGACCAACTACTCCTTGTCCCGCGGCTTCGCGAACAGTTGAACGCCATTGTCCAACTACACCAGTAATTGGGCGTCAATAGCCGCGGAATGTCTATACAATATTACGGCGTTTACACATTTTTCGGGACAATATACGTGATTTACCGCGTTTAAGTCTTTCGCGTATTATTTTACGAGGACAAATATGTTTCGGATGTTCGGACTTTCAACCGTTCCCCGACCATTTTTATATTCAAACGTTCACGGGAATACCGGGTTTTTACGTATCCCCCCCACCGTATAAGCTCGTAAAAAAAAACGAAATATCTTAACGGCAACCGGGGAAATTCGACTCGAGTGACTCTGGTGGTCGTTGTTTTCGTTCCCGTGATACTCGATCGCTATTACATACAGCTCGGTAACAGCACGACATCACACGCGGTTTGATGGTAAAACGGAAATTCCGCGTCGCGATACGTCTACGGCCTGTGCGAGATCGGGTTCAGCACAGTAGTAGTATGCGCTGAAAGAGTATCGCGAACGCTCGTGAGATTATATCCGAGTAAAAATTAAACCTGTACGCGTTATAGAAAGAAAAAAAAACCGTTTTTAAAAAAACAAAACGAGGAACACGAGTACACGACAAGCCCGTTTAATCGAAAATCGATTTCCGTCGTCGCGGGCTGTTGTATTTTCGATTTCTCCCGTACATAATGCCATAACAATACTTTATAGCCGTATAATATTTACGTAAGAAACCGATACAGGTAATCCGAGCGAAAAACCTCCGAGGACCGCCACCGTGGACAATACCGTTTCGGGAAAAATCGCACGGTTACACGGTCGCCACGCCGCCGCGGTTCGTTTTTTTTTCCTCCGTCATCAGCTCGTTTATTTCATACGTATGAGTCGGCTAGAATCAACAGTCGCGTGTTCCGAAAAATGGTAAAATTAGAGTTGTTAACACTGTCTTGTGGAACGTTTGACGGGGAATTCGAATCTATAGAATATTAATTGGTTTCAATAATTTGGCGTTATTTAACGTAACGGTACCTTCCTTGATTTCCGTAACATGCGACTCGTATACCCGAATGTTTAGTATTTTTTTTTTTTTTTTTTTGTTAATAGACATATATTTTTTTTCCGCTATACTTTTTTCCCGCACGCGGTTCTTCGCCGTTGGATTTTCGCCGCGGAATCGGTTCTTTCCGAGGTCGTTTCCGAGGACGACGACGAAATCTCGTATAATAACAAAATATTACGTCGATATACCGAATGACACGTTACGCGCATGTAAAGTATTATGTGCAGTGCTGTCAATCCGGTTTTGTTCCAGTTCAAGCGACGAGTTCGAATGACCGCGCGGAAACCCTCGATAAGTTCGCGTTGCCGACGTTACCTATACGAGAGTGAGGGGGGGGACTGACTTAGAGGTCTCCGGTACCCCCCTCCTCCCGACATTTCAAAAGAGTCGTTAATTTCCGCGCGGTCTACGAAAGTCTCGCGACTAAAGTCTTATTAAATCGTAATATTAACCGGTCTGATTTTAAATTGTTATTATTATAGGCCGTTGACGATATTCGATATTCGAGTATACGTCACAGAGTAATAATATTCTCTGTTTTATTTCTTTTCTTTTTTTTTTTTTCTATCAAATTAACAGACTTAACGGTTATGATATAATAGATTGAGGCGCGATCGAGGACGTTAAAAATACAAATGTGTGCGTAGCCGTGAATACAGAAACCAAAACCTAAAATAAAACCTCGGTAACTGCAGCACGCCGAGAACCTACGGGAGACCCCGGTTAAACCGCCCACCACCCCGCCGCGCAAAAAACACGATCAGCCTTACCCCCATCCCAAAAGAAAAATCCCGGCTACGCCGCTGCCCCGCGGCCCTATACGATTCGGTCCGAAAACGCCAAACCCAAATACGGTCGACGCGAAGAAAAAAAAAAAAAACAACTTATAATATCTGACGATTATTGTATACATACATACACACATACACACAAGTACGGCCGGCAGTCACGTTCGCGTGCCATCTGCGTGTGTACGCGGTCTATTTTCGTCGTTTCAATTCGTCACGATTCCTATAATAATATGTGTACAATGTACCGTGTATTTAGCAAATCGTATGCGAATCGTGATGTTCCGTTCGCTGTGTTCGTAACCCGTCGCACACCCGACGGGACAAACTCCTGGACCCCGCTCCGCGATAGCGTCTCTAGTGCGCGTATAATCGAAGGCATTAGTTTGGTATTGGTTTTGCGGTGTATTTCGAACGTCACGGAACCGCCGTCCGAACCGAAACGCTTGCGGAGCGCAAGTCGGTAAGTCGGCCGCGCTCGAGCGGGGGGAGAACGGGGTGTCGTGCGGAGTAGAATTAGCTGTGCGAAGGGGGGGGGGGGGAGGGGAGGGCATTCGCGAAAAAAAACGGTTCGGTATTTGAATCGAATCCGGCGGAAATCGTCATTTTACTGTATGCGTACGGTATAATAGCATAATAGTCGCATATCACATTCACGGTCCGTTCCGCGGCACACACAGTAAAAACGCAAAAGCGTTCCGTCCGTGATTATTGCCACCGACTGCCGCGGCCGTTCTCGCTCAATACCAGCGAGGATACAAGCGCAGTCGATTCGATAACGCGCGTTCGCATATGCCCGCCCGTCGTATTAACACTTGACTCTGTACACTTAAATGCGCGGAACAGAAAAAAAAAAAAAAAATGTGAAAATAACGATTGACTACGGTCGCCGTACGGTTTCTCGGGTGTACATACCCGTGTATACATTGTGTACTGTAACAATGACGTTTGCTGTTTTCAGGGTTCGGCGATCTGACCAGAAGCCCGCCGAACATACGGGTGGATAGGAACTGGGTGGTCGAATCCACGGCTCCCGTGGGAACGGTCGTGGCCCGCGTGCACGTGTCCACGGACCCCGGAGGCGAACCGCTGGTGTACGGTCTGGAACATTCGTCGGGCTTCAACATGAACCAGGAGAACGAGGAACCCATGCCGTTCACCATCGACGAGAACGGCCGGGTGACCACCAACACGTCGTTGGCGGACAAGGTATGGTTGACGAATCCGTGACAGTTTTCGAGGCGAAAAACCGCTTTCATAGATTGCTCTGTCCGTGAACGGTCTTTTCGACAAACTCCCTAAAACTTCGTCGCGCCATTTTTATTATCCGTGTCTGTAGTCGGTACGTTAGACAGGTCATTTTTTTGAGAATTTTATCGTAAGGTTTTCCCTTTAAGAAAAATTCGTCATTTTTTTTTTTTATTCTCGATTTCTGTGGTCCCTTCGTAAAAACAAAATGACGGTGGTAAAAATGCTGAGTGTCCGCCACACAAATGTTCAGTTTTTTTCCGATCCCGGTAAAACGAACTTTGCGCGCTTGATTTTCAAAACAACAGCCGAAGGTCACCGTGTTATTTTATCGCGAAATTCAACACCTAAAGAGCGACCGACGATGCGGTGTTTGGAAAAAAAAACCGAAATTTGCTGGAAATTTATCGTTATTTCCTCGGCGGCGCTGATGAAAAACCCGGTCGTCATTGTCGTTCGTGTTGATTATCGCAGACAAGGAAGGAAGTACGCCCCCTGTAACGGACGGACTGCCGGGTGGAATTTCGATTTACTTCGGTCGGTTTCCGTTCTGGATGGGATCGCCGGGTAATACGCGCACGCGTGCACGAACGCCATAATATTATAACTTCCCGGTTTCCCGTCTACAGCGGTGGCCCGCCACCCGTAGCGCGGTGGAACAAAAAAGAACGGACGCGTTGTTTTTATTATTATTATTATTTTTTTCCCCCGATTGTTTTTCGCGCGACTCTCGGAAAAATGACCTTTCCGGGGGGGGGCACTCGCGTTCTTTAATACCATGCGACGTCGCCCCGTGCCTACCGCCACATTATCGCTGTGGGAGACACACGTCGCCGGCGAAATATCGTGTCGTACCGTGTACTATTTATAGCGGTTGCAATATCGTGGCAGTTTGCGGGATTCGGCGCGTAAAAATCACGGACTCGCAATTATGTTATTGCCGGCGGAAAAAATTGCGCGCGCGGGTACGGCGCGTGCCGGGGGCCGCGGGGTGTGCAACGCGCGTGGGCGGCGTCGTCGGTTTCCGGGCGAGGGATATCGGCGGCGATTTCGGACAAACGATAATAACGCGTAATAATAATAAAAAAAAATAAAATAAAATACAAAAATAATAATACCGACGCTGCGAAACAACATACGGACGTGAACGAATATCGCGCGCGCACGCGGTATAAAACAAAGTATACCTACGGTGCGTGTAATACCATAGTGTACGTACAATACCCACTCGTATTATCGTATTGTTAAAGCCGAACGAGGAGACGCGGAAAACGACGGCGATAATAATAATAATACCTATTTTTTTTTTTTTATATTTTTTTTTTATATTCCGTTATACTTACCTACGTATGCCGTACGTATGATTTTTCAACGAAAACCCGTCGCGAAATCGAAACCACGAGGCCGCCGGTCCGCGGGAAACGACGTGAACAACGACGACGCCCGACCGGTCCGGCGGGGAAATTCGGTATGGCGCGTACAAAATAGGAACATTGTCGCGTGCAACAGTACGTTTTCATCCGGATAAAGGCCGCGACGACGTTTGTTGTCGGCGGACGTGATCGAAAATGTTTATTGAAAATCGGCAACGGTTCTCGCGACGTGCCGGCGCGTCGTATCCGCGAATAACCGTTCGGAACGACCTTGAAAATGTAGATAAGAATGTTTGAAATTCAGCTCGGAAAAAAAAAAAAAAACGTTTGCAAACGCGCGCATATAATCAGGCGCGGATTAACGCGGATTGAAAATTTCAACAACCGAAATCCGTTTAGATTACTGAATATCCGTTTATAGAACTTTTAACGGAGGTTACCGTTTGAAAATCGAGAGTCGGCAGTCGTTTTATTGCCAAAAGCGAGTGTGACAAAAAAAAATAATGTTAATTTTTGTTTTGTTTTTTTTTTTTCAATAAGCCCATTTTTCGCTAAATAATGTGTGTTCAATGATAAAAGAATCACTCTGTATATACATGTATACATGTATTCGGACCTAACCGACTGGCACGGACTATATACCTCAATTTCAGTAATCCGAATCCGTTTTTGTTTCTCCGCCGTTTCGTGAAAAGCGTCCCGATACCGACCGTATAGCCGTGGGCGGTCTTCGTTTGCGGCATCGCCAATGTTAATTTTGACCTTTTTCCTAAGACAGTTGCGCGTTGTTCGATTTTTGTGTTACACGCCGTTTTCGCAACGGCCGATTAAAAGACCATGCGCGTCATTTGCGCATCAATATTGTTTCGCTATCATTATAAATTGGTGCGAAATTGCTGGTAGAAAATTCGTCCACAGTAAGAAAAAAAGCCGTAATATATTTCAACTAATACCTACGTTTCTTATATTTTCCCGTTTTTCACATTTGATGACGAAACTCTTGGGAAAATCGTAAAATTACCTCCCGATAAGTACATTTATAATAAATTAATTAAATCTCCAATTTTTGACTACACACAAATTTTGGATGTTTTCACGAATTTCGTCGAAATTAGAACTTCGAAATGCTTATTCGACGAAAACTCGTCGTGCGTTTACGTTGTTCGACGCCATTCCGCTGTTCGTCGCGTCGACGCGCATACGTGACGATGTGTGATGATTCGGTGCGTTTGGTGCATCGCAACAGACGCGCGACGCGCAAACGCTTTACGGCCGTAGCCGCTCGCCCGTTTTTCAATTTTTTTTCAATTTCGTCGGAACACGTGCGTGTAGCGCAAAGCGTAAAACGTATTGGACCGAACACAACGGCGGACACTCGCGGCGGTCTCGTTGCGCGCCGCGGAACGGATTCGGAGAACGAAACGGCGCCGTAAACCCGAACGCGTAAACAACGACGCTGTTATTATTATACACGTTCTCGTCGAGTTTCGCGACCGGATTATCGGATGTAACAATGTAACAACAATAAATCGTTCATGATATTATGCGAAATGACTCGATCCGCGGCTCGCGCACGCCCGTGTAAAAACACCCATAACGAAAGCCAAAAGTAGAACGAGCCGGTCGTTTGGCCGTGCGGCGAGTGCACGTAACGATTGTGCTGTCGTTCGTTGCGCGGTCGGTTGTGTTTTTTCTTTTCTTTTATTTTTTTTCCTTTCGCCGCCCGACGCGCCGCTCGGCAGTGTTTCCAGGCGCGGCGGACGCGTTGAAAAATAATAATTATGGAAAAAATGCGCGTCTGTCGGTCAGGCGCGACGTCTCGTCTCGAGTGTCCGCGCGAGCCTCGAACGTCCCGGTCGCTTTCGGCCGGCGGATTTCGCGACGATTTCGAGGGGGGGGGGCGGGGGAAACGGTCCGGACGGTTTGGCGTATCGAATCTCGGCGGTTTTCGATATCGCGTAAGTCGCGGCGGAACGTATTCGAATGAAACGAATGGGGTTGTATTCCCGATATCGACAAACGATCGGGTCGTATACAACGGCCGTCTGGTTTCGCGTCGAGCTCGAGTTTGAGGGGAAGTTTGCGGGCGAAGGTGTAGGAGAACGCTGGCCGCGAGGCAAATATCATACGGGACTGGCATCGCCTCGGCTGCACGGGGGCGGGGCGGAGCAATGGTCTACGGATGTTTCCGTCGGTGCACGGGAGACGGTGTACACGCCACATCGTTTAGACTACGGGTTTGTGTGCGCTTAATATCCGCAAAAAAACAGCGTTTAAATCGTCGAAAGAACGATGAAAAATATTTTTAAAAGCGGCAGGAGGAGTTTTAAAGTCCCCCACAATTGTGTGGGCGTAGAAATCCATTGGCCTGTACAACAGCAGCCTGGGGCCCGGGACCGCGGTAACGATCAGACATTGTATTGTTTACCGTTTTTCGTTTCAGGAGGGCAAAAACATTTACTTGTACGTGACCATCAACGACGGACACCTGACGTCCAAAACGCAGGTGTGGGCCAAAGTGGAAGGGCCCGGCGGCAACGGCCGAAAGCCGACGGGCTTTCTGCCGCCCCAGTTCCGACCGCCCCCGCCGCCGTCGATCCCGATAAACGGCATCGGCGGCGGTTTCCCGGGCGGTGTCGTTTTCGCGCCGCCGAACAAACCGCCGCCGCCGACGCCGGCGAGGACGGCGCCGCCGCCCAGGCCGTCCGCAACCAAAGTTCCTACAGCGCGGCCGACGGCGGCGCCGACGGTCGCCGTCACGCAAAAAGCGACCACCGCGGCGGCCGCGGTCCCGGTCGCCGAGGCGTCCACGTCGCCGACCGCGGCCGGCTCCGCGGCGACCGTCACCGAGGACGCCGCGGCCACCGTCACCGAGGACGCCGCGGCCGTAGCCACCGCGACCCGGTCGAACGACACGAGAAACGTCACGGAGACGGCGCTCACGCCGCCCACGGTGACCACGCAGCAGCCCGTGCAAAACAACCTGGTGCTGGCGCTCGTGCCCTTGGCGGTCGCGACCGTTTTCCTGACCGCGGCCGGCGTGCTGGCCTGCCTGTTCCGCAAAAGGCTGTTTTCCGCCAAAGTCAAATCGAAAAAAGTCAACTCCATCGTAAGTATGATATATCGGTGTACGATGACACGCCCTCCGGCAGCATTACGATTATTGCTGTTACTCGGCGGTACCGGGGGCGTTTGTATTGAAAAAATAATAATAATAAAATATATCGACGGTGTTTTGTTAAAACGCAACGCGGTGTTCGCAAAGCATACGCGTCGTACATGCGTCGAATGCGGCGCGTACGCCTTTCGAACGAATCGTTGTGCGGCTTAATTACATTTTAAAATGGCGTCCGGATACGTTTTAATCGACGTGGTACCGACTTGGTTTCGTGCGTTTAAACGCGACCTTTCACCAGTTTATGCTTCTGGTTTTTCTGATTTGTTTCTCTCGTCTACCGAAAACGCACTTTTCGATTTCCAGTGGAATACGTCGGTTTAACAAAACACCCGTCGAATGTGTATTGCACGCGTTATTGAATCGGGGCGCGGATTTAAATGCTATAAAAAAAAAAAAAAAAAACACTATTTAATGCACTTGCGCGGGAAAAAAGAGATTATTTTAAACGTTGAAAAAAAAAACATAAAAAAATGTTTTTTTATCGGGCGCATAAAATATTTTGCTAAAAGCAACAGCGCGAACGGTGCATTACGACTGCAGTACAACTCGATAAATACAGCTTATCGTTTTATGTATTACGGCCGCGGCGCGGCACACGTCTGGTACGCGATCCGGCACTGTGTATCTACAGTACGTTTTAAAAACAGAAATATGCGTTGTTTTTTTTTTTTTTTATCTATTGGCGATAAATCGAAATTTTTTTATAATTACGAAAATTGTCCGATAACAACGCTGCGCGAAACTCGTAGGAAGGAGGACGCGATGCCCGTGAAGACCCGAAAACGCGATCAAAACGCGAGATAAAATGTTCGCGCGTTTTGACCGTCCGATGCGCGCCAAAAACACGACAGTTTTAATACTAAATACAATAGAAACTATTGTTTTCCGGACGTTTCGAAAACGTCGCGTACCGCGTTAATATTCTGATCCGCGCCCCGGTTGCTATCCGGCCGACCGTTGGCCACGTCACGTGCTGTCCGCGCCTATCGCGGACATGCTCCGGTTGCGGCAATAATAACAATAACAACAATAATCCACCCGGTACGTTTTTCCGCGCTCCAGGGAAAATTGAAGAGCTCGAGATCGGACGACCCGATGGTCATGCACCACTGGAGCGGACCACGGGCTTTCACCCGGTACGAGAGCTGGGGCGCCGACCCGGCGACGGCGCACGGACAGTACGCCGGCGGCAAAGAGTCGGCGATCAAGGAGACGGACCCGTGGGAGATCCCCAGGCACCACGTGCGCGTGTGTTCGATACTTGGCGAGGGCAGTTTCGGACAGGTGTGGAAGTGCGAAGCGTACAACGTGATGGGTAAATACGCGCGTTAATAAATTTTGCGTTTTTTTTTTTTTTTTTTTTCCCCATCGAAACATATTATTAACGTTCCGTGCGCACCGCTGCAGGGTTCAAGGGCAACATGGTGGTCGCGGTCAAAACGCTCAAGGACAACGCGGGCGAACGGGAACGGCTCGACCTGGTCCAGGAACTGCAGGTGATGAAATCGCTGGAGCCTCATCCGCACGTCGTCAAGCTGTTGGGATGTTGTTCGGAAAGAGGTGAGCGTTCATTAGGACGGGATAACCGCGCCAGTCTCGGTACGCGGCGTTTGTCGCGTGAAAACGACGGTCGTTTGATAGTCGGAAAATACACAGGGAAACGTTTGTGTCCGCGTGACGGTCCGGCGATTATGGCGATCGTTGCAGTAGGATTATTATTCAGAGCGTTTCGAAACGAGCGATATTCTTTCTCTCGGCTCGGACCGTTTAGAAAGCCGGTAAACGGCTCTGCGGTACGAGCGGCCAAACGCGACCGAAAACCCGACGTTTCGTTTTTTATTGATTGTACGAAATTGCCGGTTCGCAGAGTTGATTCTTCTGAACATTCCGAAGTTTCGGCTTTTTTAATTTTCGTTTGAAAAAATGTGCCTGCGATTATGCGGCGGGCACCGTAATCGCGTTCACTAATCGACTGTCATTACTATTGTTATGGATAATTATGGACCGTACCCGTTGTGTTGATTTTACAATGGTGTTTGTGTTTTCTTTTTTTTTTTTTTTTTCTGGAAATTTTATCTAGACTACCATCCATATTTTCGGAGACTTGAAATTTGAACGAAAAACTGATATTTGCCCATTTTTAAACGTGGTAAAATTTTCAATAAATGTTATGCATTTTTGAGCTATTTATGGACATTTCGCGAGTCTTTCACGCGATTTTTATTCGGTATAGGTACTCGGTGGATAAAATTGTTGGATCAAACAGAAACGCATGGTCATTTAACACGACGTTCATTATAAATCGCATTTTGTTGTAAAAAAAAAAAAAAAAAAAAGTTTAATATAGTATTTTTTTTTTTTTTTTTTTATACATATAAGAATTTCACTATCAAATTTTGCCTTTCAAAACACACGTAATCGAACTCGGCTTTTCGCCGGCACAGACATACGTTTAATTCCCATCATCGCGCATTCGCGCCCGCAACAGCGGCCCGCCCGTCGCGCGGAACGCATCCGTTTTTTTTTCCACGAACTTTAAAAAATTACTAAAAAAAAATTCGCGAATTCAATGACAATAAAATGTTGACCGGACGTCAAGCGCGTGTGCGTTGGCACCGTATCGCAGATGAACATTATTTATATCGCGCATGTACATGTTTTTATGCGTCATCGCTCCGTGCGATGTTCACCGGCGCGCATGCGCGCGTCATTAAATCGTCCGCGCGTTAAAATCTCCGGTTGGATTTTTATTTTTTTTTTTTTATTCACGTCCGCGATTTCCGTGGTCGTACACGTTCGGACGTTCAATCATTCTCACGGGCAACGATTCTCCGCCAAACTCGACACGTCCCCATACGAGAACGCGCGTGCACGTTCGGACACGAAAATCGCGATTTGTACGATTCAACCTCGGTAATTAACCGTGCACTCGTTACAGTACGGTGCGTGAACGGTAAATCGAGCACACCCGGCAACGTCTTTGCGCAGATTCGCGCAATTCGAAATTCGTTTTCGGCCGTTGTTTACCCGGCAACACACAATCCTACGGTCTCCGCGAATTTTTCACCGTCCGTTGGACACACGCGTGGCAACGCGACTTTTTTTTTTTTTTTCTTAAACGGCCACCCCTACTTTTGACTGCTAACACATTTTTTTTTTTCGTGGATTTCGGCGGTTTAACCGGTTGTCCGTGTTCAATATTGGCTGAGGGCGATTTAAAGTTTTCGATACGTGTATTATTATGTTATTCGTATTAGCGTCCGGACTGCCGAGCCTGCGAGTCCGTCGCGAACGTGACAGCGCGAGACGACGGTTGACGCTTGTAGGTGCAGCAGAGAGTGTATTCCGTATAGCGAATTCCGATAGCGCTCGTCAATTTCCACGCAGAAACCCCCGTGTGAATAAAACGCCGTCGAACAGAACGGCAGTATGCAGTGTCCGCGTTGTGATAGCTACTGTCACTCTCGAGACGTCGTCACGGCTATAGACTGTCGTGCGTCGCGACAGTTCGACACTGTTCCAGTGACGATAGTTTACCGCGACACGCGTGTATAGAGTTATAGGTACTATCACGGTACAGTGAATCACACGGCGACGGTTATGGCAACACGGTCGTGTTACGATCCTATCGCGAAACCATCGGCGTTTACATTTTTCACTATCGCGACAGTGAACGCCGTAACGTTTCCGTTACCGCATTCGTAATCAATTTAAACTTGTGTTTGCGCTAATTATACAGAATGTTCCTTGGCGAAGATTCGACAAACGCAAAAACTTTGCTATTGTCCTGCTAATCATGGACAATTTTTTTTTTCGCAAATAATAACTGAATTGCATATTTTTTTAAAACTAAAAATACGGAATTTTAATTTGTATAAAATTCAAGATGGTCATTTTATTGTACGAAATATTTGATACAAAATGATGGTGTTGAAAATGTTTAGTTACTAATGACAACGAAAGTTTCTACGATTTTTTAAAGTAGACGTACAAAAATCATTCATAAGATTATTGTTAAGGAAAAATCGACGAATTGGTTACAGATATTATTTTGAAAAATGATTTTTTTTGTTAATTTATTTTTGTCGGCCACAAAATTATTTGGAAATTTACGATTCGTCATTAGTAAATATTTATAAAATGGCTTTCTTTTAATTTAGTGAAAACGATTTTATTTTTTTACATTTAAATTTGTTAAATTAAACATATGTATTATTACTTAATATAAAATAAATGATAACAAATTTAAAATACTGTAAAAACAATTACAATGATTTGATTTGTCGAATCTTCGCGGGACATTTTCATTATTGCGGGGCGTTCCTATTGTTGGAGTTTTTTTGAGTATTCGAATTTCCCAAGTGGAAAAAACCGGTTCAGAATAATTCTGGAAAAAAAAACCGCGGGACTTTTTTTCGTTTTTTCGCACACAATATAGGAACGCCCGCGGCGTACGCGACAACGGCAATAACAGCGATAACGATAATATAACGATGATAAAAATTATTTCGTTTCCGCAGATCCCCTGTTCGTCGTCATGGAGTACGCGAAGCTGGGCAAACTCCAGAGCGTGCTGAGGAATTCTCGCGGCGTCAACTACTACACGAACACGCACGGGCCGAGTTCGTTGACGTCCCACGAGCTCATTATGTTCTGCTATCAGATCGCCAAAGGAATGGACTTCTTGTCGTCTAAAGGGGTACGGTACATTGAACCCGAACGCGCGTAATGAACCTGCGCGCCGACGTTAATTGCGTTAGGAAACGGCTATTATTACGCCGCCGTTATCGGCGTTGCCATTAGCGACACGCACGGATACGGCGGATTTTTTTTTTTTTCGCCGCGGTTTACGCCGGGGCGCCCGCGTACGGTTTCGCGGTCGGCGGTCCCGCCGTCGTTTTTCGCAGTCGTCCGTTACCGCCGCGGGAAAAAACTACGGCCGGGCCCCGGTGCCGGCCCGTACGGAAAATCACGGCGTTTTCGATACGCGGGCCGTTGCCGGTCAAAAATCGAAAACGAATAATATCCGTCTGGCCGAAAACGTTTTTACCCCCCCCCCTCTTCTTCTTATTTTCGAAGCCGCCCGTCGCCCGGACGTTAACGGATTCCGGTAAATGTCAACGCACAACAAACCGCGGTGACGCATGGCGTCTCGCCCGGGGACCGACCGGCCCGCATAACGTACGGCGTGTGCGTTCCCGCCGGAATTCTCGCGTTTTGTGCGCCGTGCCGACGCCGCGTTGCAGTCTCGTTGAAAATGATCGTGTTCCGCGGCGGTCAACTGCCCCCTATTATTATCGTATTATTTCCTCGAGAGCGGTACAATACACGGGCGTACCTACGCGCACCCGCGACCCGTCCGTTATCCGCTCGACGTTACCGCGTCATTATCGTTGCGCGTTACGAAACTGTTGTTTCGTCGGAGGAAACGTTGCAACGGTTTTTCGATATTATGCGCGCACACACACACACACACCTATGTACCGGCGGAACGCCTCCATCCGTACGTGCGCACGGACAAAACCGAGCGGTTATTTCGTGTTCTCCGCGTGCGTTCATACGCGTAGTTATTATACTTTCCCGGGTCGTCCCGCGTGCGTGCAACGCGATCAGAATTCGTGTTTCGCGGCACACGCCTGGACGATAGAGAAGAACGCGTAACCGCGTACGATTTCACCGGCCGCTCCCCACCCCGAGTCGGAATGTCTTTGTGACGAAGAAAAACGCAGAAAATTCGGTTTTTTCACCGCCTAGGAGGAAAACGGGGCTTAGATGACGGCGAGCGTTTAACGGACAGTTGACGGCGAATGGGCGACGCACGGATTCAGAAACGAAAAAGAGTTTTTCGGGAACTTTCGGGTCCGATCGATTCTTTCAACGGCGGGCCTAATACCCCCCGGATCCGCTCCCGTTTTCTGTCGTACGTTTTTCTACGTTTCGGGAACGTAAATTGACGTAAACTCTACGACTCCTTCTGTAAACGTCTATTCTTGCGAAATCTCTTAGTTTTGATTCGACGATATTTTTCTAAAATATCTTTTTCGGGTTTTCGGGACCGGAGATGTCTATAAAAACGAATGTGCTCAGAAAAACCGCAGAAACAATTCATACTTGCAATCCCACTGTTCTTCGGCGCTCGGTTTCTGATTATAATCCGGACGAACATTTTTTTTTTTTTTTTTTGTCAATCTCTTGGTGAATCCCTCCAGCTACGAAATCTACTATGACAAATGTCGCAGACAAATTAGTTGATCGGCGCCGTTGAGCAAATGCATTTAAAAATGCCGAAACGAAGCCCTCGGGCCCGGTCCCGGGCGTCGGCAGTCGGCCACCGATTCGCAGGCCCTACGATTCCGAACGTTGCATTTTTTTCCCGCTCATTTCCAAACCGCAATTTGTCGCTTGCGCGAAAACGCACATAACAAACGATAAATGTTTTGCCGGTTGACGGCGGCGGCGGCGGTCGCCGGTCGCGGTTTCGCTTCGAAACGTTTCGGAAACGTGCGCCGGGCTCGCGATCGCACGCGTTCATAACGTCCGGGCCGCTTACCACTCCTCCTCCTCCTCCTCCCCTTCCTTCTACTCCTCCGCGGCCGCCGCCGTACGACGCGACGATATTATTGAGGCGTTTTGGTAGCCGGAAAACCGTCGGGCCGCGGGCTATAGGTACGCGGTCCGGGGGCAACGGCCCGGAAAAATCGCGCGACCCGATTGATAATATTACGACGCCGAATTCGTTAAGGCGGAAGCGGCCGCCGGTTCGGTGGGAACGATTTGGGAGAAAAACGAAAAACGGCCAGTCTCATTATAACGTCGTATACGCGGAGATACGGAAACGGACGGGTTGACAAAAAAAAAAAAAAAAAACCCGCGAAAACCGCGCCGCTATAAATTTAATAAAACGGTTTTTTTTTTTTGTGTCTTCTTCATTAAGTCATTTGCGCGACAAGACAAATACGCTGCATCCGTCCTTTTGCGGTACCGCCGCCGTCGATTATATCGATTTTCGCACGGCGAATCTCGCGAGATTCCGGCCGCGTATTTTCGCGACAATGTAAATCGCTCGAATGGGTCCGGACAACGAAAGACGAACCGAGACGGGCGGCTTACGCTTTTCAAATCGTCAGAGAGAAAAAAAAAAAAAAAAAACCCGATCGTTGCGACGAGAACCGTATCGATAATAGTTGACAGACGGCCAACGAACCGCGCGACCGCTAAACGATACAATACGGTGCAGGCAGTGGCGGCTCGAATCGCGCGGTTCGCATAAAACCGTGGGCGTTCAGAAGTATACGACAAAAATCAATATGTTTTTACAAAACTGCAAGTCATTAGAAGAATTTTAGACAGCGGAAATTCGATAAATGTGAACGAATTCCAATTCATTCGTGGTAGGGTGGGGGTATTTTAGGATTGGATGGGTGAGTGGAAAATCTGTATCGGTGATTAAAGGTGGAAATACGTGTACACGGTTGTACACCTGTGTGCAGTGGCGACCCGTGTAGGCCGAATCGTTTTACCGCGATCACTGTTATTATATTTTATACGCGTGGATTTCCAGTGCGAATTTCGAAAACGTTTGTCCGTATACGATAGGAGGAAATTATTATTGTATTATAACGCCGGAATCTCGTTAGAGTTCACTCGAATTCACTTGTCGAACCTTCGCCGATCCGCGATAAAAATAACCGCTCTGTACCTAATCACATAGCGGCTTGGGAATTCGAAATATATCAGTAACTTAACCGTGTTACATTTTATTTGAATCAAAAAAGTTACGAGTTAGTTTTCATCATTTTGTCACCGTGTATGTACGTATCACGATGGACAAAAAAAAAAATAAATACAATGTGATAACATTTTAATAACGTTCTGTTACTCAACGAGTTACTTTTTTCATTTAGGACTAGTAACTTAACCGGGTTATTTGACTAAGGAACATAACTGTTACTTACTCGGGTACTAAAGTTGAATAAAATCGAGTCCAGCCTTCGCTTACTTATAGTATGTGTAATTCGCATTTGAAACCGGCGGGCGTGTGCGAGTCATTGGTATCGTATACTCGGCGCGTACGGAACATCATACCGACGGAGTTTTGTTAAAAGGGCGTATGTACCGCTAAAAATCGAAAAATACGTGTTTTTTTTTTCTATTAGCTTTTAATTGTAACACTACGGCAGCTTGACGATTATAATGTATACAGCGAGATTAACCAAAAATACGATAATTAACTGAAAAGGGCGTGATTAAATACAGAAAATTTAGCGCGTATAACGTCGGCCAAAAGACATGCGGCCATCCAAGCGCCCTTTTAAAACGCCGTTGTAAACCAACGCCGATTTGTTAAAAGGCAGTGTACCACATTCGACGCTCGTATACTTCGTGTACGAGTGATTTCATCGTTTTCCACGGTGAACGCCGTTAATAACCGTTTCGCCGTTTTTCTTTTGTGTTTCCCGTAACTGTGAAACTGACGAAACGCCGTCGGTATGTTCTGTGAAAGATACTCACGCCGGCGGCGGCAGGGGGCGCCCGGGTAAGGTCCGAGGATCGCGGGCGAGGTTCGGTCTGCCATTCGCTCGCGGAGCTTTTCCGCGATCGCCGGCGAAAAACGGGTACGCGGACCTTTCGATATCGCGCCGTCGCCACCCGGCGTTCGTTTGTTAGAAATTTTGATCGCGCCGTCGACGCGGACGTCGTTATGCCGTCGGTTAGGTTAGGTTAGGTTAGGTTAGGTTAGGTTAGGTGTACTCGTTAATGCGCGGTAACGCGTAACGGCCCGACGCGGAGTCCGGTCTGTGTTAACGAGCCCGTCTCGATTAGCATAATTTATACGAAACGGACAAATTGAACGAACTGAAGTGACATTGTGTTAATTGCGCGACGGGCGCTCAACGGACGAGTATTGCCGCGACACCGGGACCTGGGATTTTACCGTCGCGCCGCTCTCGGGGGTTTTCCATACGGTGGTCGATTCCGGGTTCCGGATTCCGAGCGCGGCGAAGAAGCTTAATGGGTTTTACGAATGTATTTATTATTTTTTTCATCGTTCTTCCGGTCCGCGGACACGTTTTTTCCTGGTAAACTCGCGCCGATTTTTACGCGTAGCAACTTTTCCGAAAGCCCAAAATGTCAACGTGGTACTTTAGAAAGGTCGTTTATTGATTTTCGATGCTGTTTTTTATATTAAAAAAAAAAAAGCACTAAAGTGGGAAAAAAACGTACAATTTTACGATTTCATTATTTCATAAAAACACGGACGACGTTTTCTACCAGAAAAAACGATTTGATCGAAAAATTACAAGATGCCTTTTTTTGTTGCCTTTTTGATCAACTTTCTTACGGTATCATCGCCCAAGGAGGCCACTTCTCAATTTTCTCACTCATCAAATGCGAAAAACCGAAAAAAAAAAAACAGAAAAATTTACGAAATTTAGTAAATATATTATGATGTCTTTTTCTGTGGACAATATTTCTACCAGCGATTTTACTCCAACAATTATGATAAGAATTTTTCTTAAAGGAAATTGCACTGGAGTGGTACTTTAGAGAGATAAGTTTTCTATTTTCTCCGGAGTTTTCTCAGCAAATATGAAAAACTGGAAAAACGCATGGAAAAACCGGGAAAAACTCAGGAAATCGGTACAACAAATATTTTTAAAGAAAATATATAGAGCCTATTTAATTATTTTACTATTATATGACATATATATTGTTAACAAAACATCACTATCAATTGAAATCTGCTCAGAATCATTTTTTCGTTAGAAATGGCCGTTACTCACAGATATACATTAAATTCCCGTTTATATCCAACCTTCCCAATTTCCCACATACACCAGTGGCTGCACTCGTTCCAGTTATCTTACTTTTCTCGTCTTTTTTTTTTTTTTTAATAGAACTTATCCTCCGTCCGATCTTACGCGTTACAATAATAACGTCTCGTTCCGCGGCGAAATTACATTACGAACGATTATACGATGGGAAAAACAACGAATTATCCCGGACGCGTTATTAGTATCTAATAATATAACAACCGCAATCGACCGCCGATTCGTACGCCATAATAATCGCGTTTTCCGCCGAAATCGATACCGTAAAGACGAGCTGTAAAACGTATGTTAATAAAGGGGAAAGGCGTAAAGGGGTTACGACGTTAACGGTAATATTACGCCGGGACTGCGAGCGGGTGATCCGGGTGATCGGAAACCGCGTGGCCGGAGATCGGAGCTTATTTGGGAAAACTCACGGCAAATCGGATTTCTCGTTCTCGTCGGGGGGACATTACGAGGGAAGGGGGAAGGGAATGTTTTCGATTTTAGCTATACGTACCCTGTAGTAATATAATATTCTAGTACGTAAATATGTAATATTATTATGCTGGGTTATCGCAGCGGCGATAGATTACGTTACTCGAATGTAGTCACTATCGAACTGTTCGATAGCCGAAAAACTGTTTCGCAGACGAAACGTGTTCGGTAAACAGAACGCTGTTAATGCGATTCGTTGATGTACGCACAGGATACGAAACGATCCTCCCGTACCCTTTCAATTTTCGACGGCGCCGCCCGTCGCAATCTCGTGTACTAGTCCGCTGCCCGAACTATCGGGTAGTGGGATAAATATTCGATTACCGTCAACTATTCGGCGGTGGGCAAACTATTCGGTATAGCTTATCGAACTTTTCGACAATGATTGCTGCGTTCGCTAAACATTACCATTCGAGCTGTTCAGTTCAGTACTCGTCGTTACAGAGTTTCGACGGTGACACCGTGTCTTCGATCGCGCGTATAACACTCGTGTTCTCAATTATTCGCCCCGTCGGTTTCCATTCCCAGCACTGGTCGAACCGCGCGTCTCCTTCTCGCGTGTTATAATATTCGCTCGCGAATACTTGTGTATGCTATTGTGTACGTAATATTTATTTGCGCAGATCATACACAGAGACCTGGCGGCCCGTAACATACTGGTCACGGAGGAACGGGTGTGCAAGATCTCGGACTTCGGGTTCGCGCGGGACGTGGCCAGCAGCCGCGTGTACGAGCGCAAGTCCGAGGGACGGCTGCCGATCCGGTGGATGGCGCCCGAGTCGCTGTTCGACAACATGTACTCGGCCAAGTCGGACGTCTGGTCGTTCGGCGTGCTCATGTGGGAGATCGTCACGCTCGGCTCGACGCCGTACCCGGGCATGGCGGCCGCGGACGTCATGAAACGGATCCGGGACGGTTACCGGCTGGACAAGCCGCAGCACTGCCGGCGCGAGGTGTACAACATCATGTTCTACTGCTGGGACAAGAGCCCGGACGGCCGGCCCGATTTCTCCGAGCTGCTCGATCTGCTCGACAAGCTGCTGGTCGACGAGACCGACTACATACAGCTGGACAGGTTCCCGGACAACGCGTACTACAACATCACCACGTGCATAAGTGGCGAGCGCCTGTGACTGCAGCGGCGCGGCGGCCGAGACGACCGAAAATATTAACGTACAATGCCTGTAATAATAATAATAATAATAAAAAAAAAAAACCGTCAAATTATACGAAACCTAAACGGCCGTGGAACGTATACGACGGTGGCGTGCTCGGGGGCATTGAAATTGAATAATAAACGACGCATTCCGATTGAGAATATCTGCCCGAACGCGTCGTGAAAAATCGCCCGAACGCGGGGCAGTTTTTCACAAGCCCGCCCGTTACGGGCCCGGTTCGCCGCCGAACGTGTTTCGCCCCTTCGGTCATTACACCCCGCTGTACAGTCGTTTGGCAGGACGTGATTTTTTCATTTTTTTTTAATTTATTATCACGGTCATTAACAGCGGCTACCGGTTTCCAAAGTCCGCGTACCGCTATATTATACATAATATATTATTATTATCATTATCATTATTATTATTATTCGAGAGTGCGAAAAAATTACATTGATAGGTACCTGGACGTTCTTTTATTCCGCGCAATGTCGTGTTCGCGTACGTATATGTATTATGATGTTTACTATACGCGCGACACGCACGAAAAGGCGAGCGTACTCTGTTGTTGATGTGTTTTTTTTATTTTTTATTATTTTTTTTTTTTTTTTATTTATGTACAAAACATAATATCACACAAAGAAAAACACTACTAGTCTTTTAATTATTATATTATTTTTATTTTATTTTTTTTTTTTTCGTAATTTTTGTACCGTCTACAGAGTGCCTTTTTTACGTGTACGCGTTTTGTTTTTCAAACTATATCTATATATTATTATTATATCTTAATATTATAACACAATACGTATCGTTGTAAGTACCGAAAAATGAAAAAATATATTTAGTGTACAATCCAGCGACTTGGCTACTCTTCTTTACTTGTAGGGCCGTTCCCAACAAACGTACACAAAAAGGCGTTTATCCGATTTTTAAACTGAATTTATGGCTGATAACCGACCACGATTGGCCGATTATCTTAAAAACTCCGTTTAAAAATCAACGTTTACGTTGGTGAGAACGGGCCTTAATCTACTGCACCTCCGATACGAAACTTTATTGGTTCTTAGTTATTATCAGTGGCGTGACTAGAATACTTCTAATGCCCGTGGTAAAACGTTGCATCGATCAGTCCAATAATGCTTTGAGCCCTAGTTCGGAGCCCCTAAACGTCATGGGCGCGTGGCGTTTGGCCCCCTTGTTCACCCGGCATATTAATCGTTAATTTTACGATAACATATTTTAATGGGCTACTTAGGCGTATCCCACTACTATCAAAGTGACAAAGTGTAATAACAGATTACCTATTTTTTGAACATCAATGTATTCATTTTTGTCCCGGTTTGAACTTATTCTGGACCATTGTGCACTGGTTATTACTTTATTGGTTTTATTATAATGTGGCTCAATAGATGTATTGGAAAATATGTGGATTATTCGATTTTAGTTGTGTTGAAAATTCTATAAACAGCTAAAGTTTGTGACCCTAAAAATCGCATGCTCGTTAAAAAAAAAAAAATTAAACAACACCAATTCCGTACACTCGCACATGTTGTTTACTCCTCCCTCCCCCATTACCTTAGTACAAACGATTGTTGTGAGCGTACCTATCTGTTATAGAAATTTAAAAAACAATAGGATATTTTCGTGTCACGCTATGAACTGTACTCAACTGTAATAATAATAATTTACAAAACGCCGAGTAAAAATACCGCGCACCAAAACCGTAAACAAATATCATTTAATTATTGTTATCGTAATATTAACGGTCTACCGATGAAACGGTCGAAACGACAGCGAATAGCGAAAACGCCAATTGCTAATCCGAGCGGATATTTTGCAAATTTCCATTTCTTAATACTACATATTTATGTTAGAGAACGGGTTAACAATTAAAATATGCAAAAAAGCGCTTTGAAAATATTTTTCAAAAATATCATAAATGGTAGAAGGGTTATAAAGTCTCCTCGAACAGTTTCAAATTGTTAAATCCGATTTTCTAACACTAAAAAATTGATAAATATAAAATAATTTAAAAAAAAAAAAAAAACATGAAGGGTGAACTTTGATAAATTAAAAATAATCACTAAAAACAAGAGACCTTTATACTTTTAAACAATTAACCGATTCCCAAAGTCGATTTGAGTATAGAATACGATTTTACGGTTTATTCGATTCTTATCTGCTACATCCCCTCCCATTTAAAGTCCCTGCACACGACACTGCTTATTATATGCTGAAAGCCACGATAAATCATTGCAATCAAAAAATGATTCCGAGCGGAGCTTGGTAAACTGGTAAGGTTATAGTATCAGTAATGTTTGTTTTCCTTGTAACCAAGGTAACCCAAGAATAATACAAATAAAACCTATATATGTGTCCGTATATTGTAAAACTTTCGGAAATTTCTAACATAATATACGAAATAATGTACCTACCATCAGGAAAAAAATGCATATCTATGTATCAATGGCATGAAAAAAATCGGAGAATTTTTACTAACTTATAGTGTTTTTCGAGAAAAAACCAATTTAGTAAAACACTACAGTAGTTCCTTCACTAAGCACAGAACTTAAAATAAACACAAAATCCAGCGCCGCGGTTGCTGAGTAAAATAAAAAGAGCTCGTGCGTCGACCGCAGTATATTACACGAGACGGCCGACAACTATTTAACCTGTGTAATTTTACGGCAAATGGTCCGACCTCTCTGCAGCCTAAACTAATGGATCGATCGTATTGAAATTTACACGTGCCGATCAGAATGTTAAGTAGACGATACTTTTGTAGATTTCAAGTTGATCGTATGATTACAGCCAGAGGAATATGCAAAAGTATTAGCCTAGTTTTTACTCGAAACGCTATTTTTTCACCAATTCAACAATGGATAATAATATGTTGTACACGCTGTTACCACCTATTTGCAACGGTGTCTGCGGTGAATAAAAAATAATTTTGTTTATTTATTTTACCGCTATATTAATTATATCGTTTTCACTTTTCCAGTAACATTCATAAGCTATATTTATAACCAGTGACATATACGAGGGGGGGAGGGGTTAGGGTTTGAAACCCCCCGCAATGTCTTCGAAATAAAAAAAAAATACCAACAGTTTGAAAATCGAATAAAGTGTCATTACACTGTTAACAGTTTACACAAATAACACAAGTTAATAATATACAAGTCCAGTCCAGTGTAGTGTGTATATTATAATAAAAAGTAGCCCTATGGTTATCGGTTATTGCTTTCGGTTATCCAAAAGGACAAAGTATTTTACAATTGTCAATAGAAGAAGTATATCAACAAAGTGATCGTTTAAAACAAAAAAATCTATATGCAACTCGATGGCTCAATTGCCATAATACAGTTATATTATTTAAAAAACTCCTCAGTACTATTATCATAGATAGTATTTATTTTGGTATATTCTTTAAAATATTAACTGAATTGATAAGAAAACTGGAGTTTAGCCACAAATAATCCATCCATGTTATGAGTATGGAGATCAGATCACAATAAAAGTTCCATTTTAGGATGAAACCTAAACAAAATGTAATATTAAAATACAATCTTCATATAACGCACAAAATACAATACTGTTCTTAATGAGCAAAATTAAAAAATAAATGTAAGTACCTACATTTGTATCCTCTACAATCACTAGTTTATCATAATCATAATAACCAACATGTGTAAATGATAAAAATATAATAAATATTTTAAAAAATTATTTTGTAATTATTTTATATTTTTACTTATGGTTGACTCTGTTCCATTGAATTGATTTTTTGATAATTATCAATTATGAGATAACAGTATTTGTCTTCAGTTCAGAATTTACTTATTTTAATCAATAGTTTTAACAAAAAACCCATTTTTACATCAATATTTGATTCAATTATTAAAAATATTAATTAGAGAATTTGAGTTGAATAAATAAATTATGGTACCTTCGTAGTTTTAAAATTAATATGTTTTTTTTATACATTTTTCAAAGATTTTACTAATTGATAAAGTCGGAGCAATTTGTAATTGTTGCAAAACTTTACAACACTATTTTCAAATAATGGAATAATTATGCATTTTTAAAATATACTAGGGAATATTCCAGGTGAAAAAATATTTATTGGAAATAATTGATAAAGGAAATACTATAAGATCATATATTTCCCTGAGAACTTTATTAATAGGTAATCACAATTAATTCATATTATATAAATACATTTTATATAGGTAGTTTGTATTTTTTTTTAATATTCTTAAGAAAATGAATTATTTCACTTTTAGTAACAGGGAACCAAAATATAGAAGATCCACTGGATCAGATCCAGGATTTTATTTTAAAAAATAATTACCTTTATTATTATTTGTAGAATTATAGGTTTTTTATTTTTTTACGAGGAACTTATCCAAAGCAGCATTTGGTTCAAGATTAACAATATTAAATTTCCAGTTGTATGTACCGATTAAATGATTTAGGCTGTTATAAAGTTTATATACACAACGGATCCAAGTTAATATAATATAAATAAAATGGCTATTATACAAACTATCACTGCAATTTAAACATATAGTACCAAAATGGTTTGCAATACTACACTTCAAAATATAGGCACAACTATTATTTTTATTTATATACATGGGATCAATACAGGATAGTTAGAATTGTGTATGCAATTAGGCTACTGACAATTTAATAAAAATTAAAAGCTTCTAATGTATTAGAATATTTATTTATGTATAATAAACGGGTCAAGACCCTTTTGTGTAGGCAGTACAGGTTTAAACATTTAAGTATTTTATGGTTAACAATAAACATCTCGATTTAAAACAATAATAATAATAATGAAGTTAACAATACAAAATTAATAATAATTAGACAAATTTAAATAATGAAAACAATAATAATACAGTAGGAGACAAACACTAAATCAATAATAATATAATAATAGAAAATTACTTAATTTAAAACATCGTTTAAGACTAAATATACATTTCTTTTGAAAACATTACGTGACATAAAGAAAAAAATCTACATTATCAACAATAAGATTTGCTAGTTTTAATGCTCGAGGAAAGTAAGAAGAGGAGCTGTAGTTATTATTATAAAATGGAACATGAAATAAGTTTGATTTTCTTAAACGGTGATTTGTTGTATTAAATTCAATCATAGAGAGCAAATCCGGGGAAAAAATGTGACCATTTAACAAATCACATATAAACATAATATCAGCAACCTCTCTTCTTACTTTACAAGATATAAAGCTCAACTCGCTTATTCGCATATTGTACGAGTTCTTTGAAATAAATCGAATATTTAACTTGTAACACNAAGATGAGATCTAACAAGCGCAAAAAATAATGTTTTCAAGGCATTTATATTTTTAAAATTAACTGTGTTTCGGTGGATAAAGCCAAGCATCTTAAAGGATTTTTTAGTAATAGTATTAATGTGAGTAGTAAAAGACAAATCGTAATCAATAATAATCCCTAAATCTCCAATAGAAGTTGCTCTTGTAACGGAACAATTATCAATTTTATAATCAAAGCTAATAGGATTATTGATTCGTGAAAAAGTAATAACATTACATTTGTTTATATTTAGAGATAAACTATTTTGGTGAGTCCATGTAACAAATTTATCCAAGTTAGCTTGCAAATTTAAAGCATCTGATGGAGAATAAATTGTAGAAAAAATGTTTGCGTCATCAGCAAATAGCAGTATATATTTAGATATATTATCATTAGTATTACAAATAAAAAGTAGTAATTGTTTTTACTAGGTACTGAATAAATATATTTCTAAACATTCAATAAAACTATATGTATTTATAAACTATAACTATAATTATTTATAACTATATGTATTTGTAAAAGAGATTACATTAAGTTTTTATTTTTTGATATGAATACTTCCATAATTACATTCTTCCAAGAAAATGTGCAATAAAATGGAAATATTATTGTAAATCAAAGTAATAAATAAAATGAATAAACTCAGACTAGACCAAATGTGCAACCAAAATTTATGATTGATTTCTAAAAGGCAGTTATAAAAATATTGAATAAATTATAAAACGATGTTGAAATGTATACAATTTTTTTTATTCATTTTACTCAGTACTTGTGGCAAAAAATACAACCATGTGGCTTAAAAATATATTTTTCACATAAATAGAGTAAAACTTTAAATACATTTTGGTGTTTACATTATTTTTATCCTTATCAATGAAATATGTTTGGCAGCACAGAACGTGGATTCGTCGGCACGGTAAAAAAAAATAAATTCAATTTTGCCCATTAATCCTGCCGAGTTAATATTATTTGTCAAACTCAGATTGGAGTAAGAGCAGAATTGAATTTATCTGTTAATACATGATAGAACATGGTAGAACAAAATAAATTCAATTACCTCAATAAATCCTATCCAGTTACTATAATTTTTCAAACTGTACTAGGAATTATTGGGGAAAATGAATTTACTAGTTAACAACAAGTTGTATGTCTGATATTTATCATACAATATCAGTGAAATGGTAGATGTCCTGAAAACAGTGAACAATAATAAATTATATGCTAGAGAGAGTGGAAGTGTGACAGCATCAGATACATACCAAATCCAATAGCTTCCCCTATAGGACTTAACATTTTCAATTGCGTAATGTTCTTCTCAGGATTTTCCGGCATGGTAGAACAAAATAAATTCAATTATCTCAACAAATCCTATCTAGTTACTATAATTTGTCAAACTAAATTTGGAATTATTGGGGAAAACGAATTTACCAGTTAACAATAAGTTGTATGGTTAATATTTATCATACAATATCAGTGAAATGGTAGATGTCCTGAAAACAGCAATAATAAATTATATGCCAGAGAGAGAGTGGAAGTGTGACAGCATAAGATACATACCAAGTCCAATAGCTTTCCCTATACGACATAATATTTTCAATTGCGTAATGTTCTTCTCAGGATTTTCCAGCATGGTAGAACAAAATAAATTTATTTACCTCAATAAATCCTAACCAGTTACTATAATTTTTCAAACTGTACTAGGAATTATTGGGGAAAACGAATTTACTAGTTAACAATAAGTTGTATGGTTAATATTTATCATACAATATCAGTGAAATGGTTGATGTTCTGAAAACAAAGAGCAAAAACAAACTATACACTAGAGAAAAAGTGGACATGATGCAGCCTTTTATATTAAGCTCAATAGTTCCCCCTATAGATATATGTTTGTATAATGTATATTCATATATATATACTTATATGTACGAGATTATGTTAGCATGGACGCCACGTAGCTTGACGATTGATGTAACCTTTTTTGGAATCTCTTGCATGGATTACTCCGCCGAACGTACCAATTACCGATTGGAAGATGGGATGCCATATCGCTCTACTCCATGTTTGATTCCAGCTATGCGGCGTATCTATAAATCAACATGGCGAGGTGCATCCACCAAAGGTGGGATACAAGTGACCAACGAATGGAACGCGTTTGGCAAGGGGATTCCTGGTTCGAACATAAAAGCATTAAATCTAAAACTAAGAGATACGTCGGGTAGTCGCAGCAAGAAAAAGAGAGTAAAACTGAAAAAAAAAAACATGTAGGTATCCTAACTTAATTTGCACGGATATAATCTAGACACCCGGGGGGGGGGGGGGGGAGTGAGGATTTGCGCAACACAATATTTAACCAAGAGGAAAATGAAACAAGAAAAGTAATTAATATACAGAGTTATTCGTGTGTTCTGTAAAGAAACTTAACAACAGAGATTTAGTAACTAACACTCCTACTATACGGGGTGCCGGGCAAAGATACAACGGAATTCATATTACTTACCAGACATTCGTGATGGCGGATCCTCCGTCCGAGGCGGAGAAAAGCGTAAACAGCGAGAAACGAATTGGACGACAGCCAAAAATGAACTGATTCCATGAACTTTCAATCGATCGGCGTTCGGTCCGGTCATTCGACGTCCGAGCGTCGGGCACCGGGGCGATCGACGATTACGTGTGTCAATTTGATTGGCCGGTGCCGTCTTCAGTGTTACACTTTTACATTTGAGTTCTGCGGACATGCACTGATGCGGTCGTCGTACAGGCGAACAGAGAGTGAGTGAGAGAGTGGTGGTGTCGGTGACATCTTTGTGCGGCGGAGTATACACGCTCAGGGTGGCCGGGGAACCGTATGTTACGTGACGCTACGCTTTACGACGTTGATTACTTGATTTTACGGACGGTCATTTTTTTTGGTACATTACAATATATTTGCTAGACCGTAAGTGGAATCATAAAATATATTAATTGTTATAATTTATAAGGTTGTGGAAAACGACGAGAGTTAAACTATGGTTGGAGGCAATTTTTTTTGAGAATGGTTGGTCACATTACATAGGGGTAAGGAGTTTATAGATTATAACGTTGGCAACTCCATTGTATTAAACTTGTCGTCCCGTTATTTTTTTGACAACTGGAACAAAGAACATTCCCTAGTCCCGAATTCCTCGTGTCCGACGCCGATCATCATCCGCGTTGTGTACGTTCTCCCTTCTTTTCCGACCGTTGGCGTGCGATATACCGCGATTTTTCCAGTTGCACGCTTTTCGAACCAATCTTAAAACCATTTTTACTTTTTAGTATACAAATCATAAGACAGAAATAGTTACTTAATAGTACAATAATTATGTGTGCCATAGATATATCGTCGTATGTGTTGTTTGTATGTAATTTCAATAGGCGTATTTAGAATTTATATTTGTTATTTTAAGTTTGCAATAATATTATGGAAACTGCTAGCTTTAAAACCGGTGGTTCTCCTCATAAAGATTATAGCAATGAAAAAACCAATAACCATGATGAAAAGATGAAAATATTCAATTGTATCATCTGCTTTAATGAGGCCAAGTAACCAGTTGTCAGTTTTTGTGGCCATTTATTTTGGTTAGTATCATTGGTACATAATTGGTACACAATTGTAATAACAATATTAGGTATAACTTGATAGTAAACACTAAATATTTATTAAATTAGATACTACCCATAATTAAGGAAATAGATCCAATTTATGTGACATCAGTATTCTACAATTTTTCTTGATACATTCATTTTAAACATTTTTGTTGGCCAGTGGCTAATTGGGCAACTGGAAAATCAGGAGTTTTCTCAGTCTGGCGCTTTTTCAAATAATTACATTATAAAGTATTTTGTGTCTAAAAGTTATGCTGAAATTTTTTTAATTAAATTAATAAGTAGTTATGTTTTAATTATTATTTTTTTTTTTAATTTAAAATGTCATTAAAATATACATTTAGTGAAATGTAGGTAGTTTATATATATATATATATATATAGAAATAGTTTATTTTAATTTTAATGGATTATTTAAAATTAGTTATTATTAGACCTAGGTATGTTAAGAAGTATATATATAATTTTTTCACATCTTCGAAAACAATGTGAGCGTTTAATATCAACTACTTATTCTAAATTTATATTTGAAAATAACATTGAAGTTAGTATAAAGTTTTTTTTTGGAAATATATTAATTCTTTAAAGAAGAATATTTCAACTATCCCTGATATTGTATCTTACAACACCAAATTCTATCTTCAAGCAATAAAAAAAAGTTCAGTTTTTTGCCAATTATTTTTCTAGTATATATGTTGAACCTGTCAATTCCCTCATTTTTGTCAATTATTCTCATTTTACATGAATGGTCGATTAGTGATTAGTGCTATTCTATGTGTTTTTATAGGTCACAATCACCAATAAAATGGGTTTATTCTATAAATAATAATTAACTCTAATAAGTTTTTCACACCAAAGATCTTGGTATTACTTTTTTATATAATTTTAATTTTAATTAATATATAAATAGCACTATTAGGATAGCCCTAAAAGTTTTATTCTTATTCTATTCGATTTTTTCTTAATGTCTCTGTGTAAAATTTTAAACTCGCATTGTGTTGTAGACCAGTGGTCTTCAACCTTTTTGGACTCATGACCCACTTTTTTAGGCATACATTATTCGCAACCCACATAAGGTTTACATAAATAAAAACATTTGTAGAAACACAAAAAAAAAAATTTTAAATTACTTAATACTTTGTAGTAGTACTGTTTTAACTGAATAAATAAAAATAAAAAAAACTTTTTAATGGATACGTAAATATGACTAGAATAATAACGCAACTAACACAGTGACAACATCAACAATGTTTGTAAATTATGGGACTCTTTAACGATAATAATATAATATATTTATTTTATTACTAACCCTGTTTACTCATAAATTATTATATTTAATGTCATACTATGTAGAATCATACCAGTATTTGAAACATATACTGTGATTTGAAATCCATTATACTATTATATTACATAATATTATTTATACATAATATATTATAATAATTTTAAAATAGTATTTTCATTTATTAATTTTCTAAGTTAAATAATTATTTGTATACCTTATATAATTGTATAAACTTAATTTTTATTTTAATAAGATAACTTATCGCGACCCAATTTTTAAGCTTACACAACCAATTTTGCTTTCCAGATATTAGGTTATTGTTAATAAAAATACTAACGATTTTAAAAGATATAAAAATTTTAAAAATGTTAAATTTTTTTCTTGTTAAGTTAGAGCTCGAATTTAGTTCTTTGGTTTGGTCCCTTAACTATGCGGCTTTTATTAATCTTTACTAGTCTATCTAGGAATTCTTATCATTTACATTCTGCTCACCTAGGTATTACATATTATAGTCTCAGAAGAAAAGTTATTGGTTTAATGTTTTTATTTGATTTGTTTAATTGAAATGTAAGTTGCTCAGAGTTACTTTCAATGGTTGGCTTTCACATTAGTCATATCTGCTTCAGGGTTAATAAATTGTTTTGTTTTATTTTTTACTAATAACTATAGGTCAGTATCATATTTTCCTTGAATTCTAATGTTAGCAAATAAATTACCATCTTGTGTTGACTTTTTTTTATGCCTTATAAAACATCTTTAGCTTAAATTTGTATTTTGTATTTGTTTATATATTTAAAATACACTAATTCTTTACTATTACAGGTTGATGATTAAAAATTGTATAATAAAGATTTAATTTTCAGCAAGCCATGCTTACATAAACGGTTGAAAACAATATCAAGTCGTCAAGTATTTCCAATGTGTAATGCTCACATAAGCAAAGATAAAGTTACACTAATTGATTTGCTTAAAACTACCAAACAAAATCTAAGGTATTTTTTATATTAATTGTTTAAGATACCATATTATAAACTATTAAACATATGATTAAAAACTTTATTTAAAACTAATTAATTAATTATAAAACAAATAATGCCTATTGCTGCATCTAACCATGTTTTTGTAAAAAAAACTATTTGAATTTCCAATTAGACCACCGGATTACATTTATATAATCAGTGAAAATTAATTTAAATTAATCTTAACATTTTTCCAGGATAGGGGGAAGACATAGATGTTTACCATTTCCCATTCAATCTCCAATTTACTCTCGCTTAGTTCATCACTAAAACATTAGCTTGAAACCGCAATAAAATATTTCATGTTTGCCATAAGCCATGTTTTTCTTTTAATATTGACAAAATTTAGGGGAATTATTCTCAACAGATATGGCAACACTTTATGAAGTAGAAAAAATAGATTGTAACAGTTGAACTCTACATGATTTACAAAAATTCTTGAAAATATTTCAATTCATAAATTTTTAATTAGTCAAATATGCAAAAAAAAAAAAAATGATTTTATATGAATATATTTTTTTAACATCAGAATATGCACTTATATGTAAAATACAATTTTGTGTTTAGATTCTTTGTACTGTGACTGTTGACACATATTATTCTCATGGTTGTGCAAACGTGTTTTCTTTTAAATAGAAATCCGCACTCGTTATAATTTTTTTTTCACCTATATTAAAATTTATAACTTAAAACTTATAGCTCATTAATAAATAATAATGCGATTCAAAACTAGTATTTGTATTCTAACTTATAAATTATTTTTTATTAGTCATCTTGTATAGGGTAAAAGATGGTATGTTCATAATGAAATGTTTAATTACACATTTAAGTGATAAGATTTTATTATTGTAATTATTTGACGAACTTATTGTAAAACAACTAGAATATAATAAGCATATAATATTGGATTTTTTTGGTGATGTTAACTGGAAAATAAGTATCATCCAAATACATTTATTACTCAATAATATACATATGTTTAGTAATGTCTTTGATTTTAACAATTGATAAATAACCGCTGATTTATACATTAGATTTTGTTATTAAATATATATGTATTTTTTTTTTTTAGAATCAAAAGATTACCAAGACTAGCTGACCATAGAAGACAACATTTCCTTTTTGACTTAATTGCTAATTTAGCATTCAGTTTTTTTTCAATTTTCAAAATAGCACTTGTGTAAAAAAATATTTATTTAAACATTTAATTAAATGACATTTCGATCACTAAATCATCAACTACATGATTTTCGACCAAACGACCCACACCTTTATAATTAAACTACACTAATAAACAACTAATAAAACTTTTTTTTTTTTACATTTTGATTAGCTAAGTCATGTAAAGTAGGTTGAGTTAAATATAATTTATATTATATTATTAGGTATATCTGTTTTTGTTTATATAACAGACGCAATACAGTACAACAGTCTCCATTTTCAGGGAGAATTTCTCCCTTCTTCAATGATATCTATAATAGTGGGTTGCTACAGCACTTACCTACAGTATAACAAAACATAACCACTCTTATCAAATATTGCTAACGGAACATAACATAACCTAACCTATATTGTTTTAATATTTTAATGTTAAATAATTTATCAATAAAAAGGATACATTTGTCTTTTTATTATATTCATAAGTTTTATTGTACTATCGATACTATAAAAAATATTTTTTTTTTTTTTTCAATAAACAAATAATTTTATCTCGACTCATTTTCTTTAATCATTAAAAAGAATACATGTTAATGCCAATTTGTATATTCCTTTAATATCTTTCATGTGTTCCTTTATATACATCAAAAATATATTGTTTGTGGATTTTAGTGGAATAAACGGATTATTTATTGGATATTGTCTGCAGATATCTAATGAATGTTTGTGGATATACAGGTGTAACTGGACTATTTAACATTTTTACATGTAACTACAATGTAAAAATGTCAAACTGTCCTTTTACACCTTGTATATGATATTATCTAAGTAATTCGAGATGAGACATAATAAGTTACTAATAATGTTCTTTGAATATCTGAGGTTAATTAGCGAATCATATATGACAATCTGAAAAGTATAATCATATATTAAAATAAGAATATTGAATGCTTTGTGGGCGCACACCTTCAACATAAATAGATATCAGTACAATTACGTATATTAATTGAATTGTATATTCCTGAATTTTCAACTGTTGCTAGTACCCAACCATGGAAATTCAAAATTGAAGAATAAACAAGTTTGGTTATGATTTTCATCAAATTGTTACAGTTCTTGAGCCCTCTGAAAAATGATATAAATGAAAAATAAAAAATAATAAAAATTGTATACCTATTAGGAAAACTGGTTTTAAAATTCATTATGTTATGTATATTTTTAATGTAATGTGGTTTAAAATATTATCAAATACTAATAATAAATAATACTTTGCATATTATTATTAATTTCAAAATTTTAACTTGTAATATTGTGTATTTGTGTTTAAAATCTATATGCAAAAAAAAAGTGATGCTCTAATGTTGGTTTATCAGTTATTTAAATTAACTAAAAAAATTTTTTCAATTAGTTTGAAGAAAAATGACATTTTTATTATCATTACTCTAAACACAAAAAAAAAATTTAATATTAACAGCGCTAAAAAAACCGTCGAACATGGTGGGACACAATGTTAAACAAAAATTAATTTAAATAAAGAATTCAACGAAACTTATCTAATCACAATTTAATACCTAATTAATGTTGTTATAGTTCATTTAATTACAGATGTTTAAATGTATCTAATTTCAATAAATTGTATTACGTTCGGAATATTTATGTTTTTACATATTGTTACTGAGTACCTACTTACATAATACATGCAGTCATGAGAGTAAAAATTGTGGACGATCTATTTCAATTAAGAGTTCACGGGACAAAGTTGTTTTTGTATATTCAAGACTATTTCGTGTGTTAGGGAAAATTTACAATATCAAGCACAATAAATTATATTAAATTAAATGTTGGTAGATAGTTATTTTTTGAACGATATCAATAAATATTTGATAATATAGTTAAATAGGCAATAAATAGACTAACTGAGAAATTACAATACAATTTCAGCAGCTGAGTATGTGCAACATAGATACAAAATTGAAAGTCAGCAACAGAATTTTGAGAACGGGTTAAAAAAAATTCATTTTTAGGAGTTGTGTGGGCAACTCGTTAAAATAGAATAAGTACAATTTCCAGGAGTTGAATAGGCCACATTGTGTACAAATTTGGGCAGCTCTGGCCTTTCTTATCAAATATTGTTAGCGGAACGTTAGGTTATTAATAATTATATGCGAAAATCATTTCCGGCCATATTAAGTCTGATATTGTTCTCATAATTTCACTAATGGAAACGCGTTTAAACGGAATTTTTATTTTACATTTATTTTAAAAACGGAGTTTTTCAACTGTCGTAAAACGACTCGCGATGTTTTTATAATAATAATATACGAAATTGAATAATCGCGATTTTTACAGACGTATACGCAGCCGAATATATATTTCGTCTGGATACAATTGGTTTTAACACGGATGAACCCAAAAAAAAAAAAAAAAACAATTAAGAATCAGAACTTACCGCCAATGATTTTTAATAGGTAATTATTTTTTATATTTATATTTATTCTATGTTTGAAATAACTAATTTTATAATAATACTAAATACTGAATTTAAATAGGTACTAGGTATGTTTTTTTTTTTTTCATGAATATAAATATGATAAAAAAAATTAAAATCCGCCATTGATCCAAGTATACGGTCAGCCACAGGTATTAACTAATTCAACAACCTCTGTCCATCAATCGATTTGAGTTGAAAAAAAAGTAGATACTTACTGTGTTCTGATCATTTTGTGTATTTTTGTCTATGTTAAATGTACTCTAGATCATATAACTTTGTAGTAAAACCTCTACCTGTCATTTTTTGAAAGTAATGTTATTGTTCTGATCGAGAATACTGCAATATAAGATATTTAAAAAACAAAAATAGTACAATTAGAATCGTTTCCATTTAAGAAAATGTAGGCTTTACAGCGCATTCAAATTTTAATTCATACACACACTGTAGGGTTACAAAAACCTTTTATATTATATTAAGATTGCCAAACCAAAAAATATCCCAATTTATAAGCCCACTAATAAAAATAAAAACGATATACCTAACTGAATCTGGTGGTAGGTATTTGGTTATCTGATTTCATTTCTATTCCTTCATATAATCTTTTAGTGTATACGATCAAAATATCATTTTAAAAACATATTATTTTTTTTGCTTATTTTTAATCAAATTAAAACAAAAAAAAAATCAAAAATAACAGTTATTGTTAAAGTGGACATTTCTCCCATTTCTTTGTAAAATTTTTTTAAGAAAACTGAAAAGGAAAATTTAAAAAATGTCACAAATTAACCATTTCAGAAATGAATTAACATCATTTAAGTTAAATATAAACAATTTTAAAACTTTATTATTCTAACATCATAACCAATGTAAAAAATAGTTATTAGTTTTTATTATTTCTATTTTTTCCACGACCATGTTTTGGTTTTTTATTCATTTTTCCAACTTTTTCTTTTGGTTTTTCTTCTTCCTCTGTACTATTATTACTATTATCAGGTTCAGTATTTGTTTCAGTTTCTTCTTCAAAATCGTCTTGGTCATCATTTTTAGGGATTATATTAGAAAACTTTTTGAGTTTAGCGACAAAGAATCCATCCATGTTATGAGTATGGGGATAAAAACGCCGTGTAAGTTTCATAGTAGGATGAAACCTAAAACAAAATGTAATATTATAATACAATATTTATAAAACATACAAAATAATGTTCTAATAAATATTATAGTTTAGGCAGCTCACAACACAATGCGATTGACGTGACACAACTTAAAACAAACAAAAAAAAAGGTCATTTACAATGATATTTATGTTAATCTTTATGGTGATTGTAATTTAAATAACTTGAACTAATCAAAATATTTTTTTATAAATATTATGTGTATATTTGTTGATATTGGTAAATTATTTTATCTTTCTAACCACATTTAAAAGTCGTAGACAATCGTTAAAAAACAATTTGACAATTAAGGCAAACAATTACGATCAAAGTATTCCTTTTCGTTTATTGTGTCTCGTTAATTGCATTGTGCTAGTAGGGGATCTGCCTTAATGTATACAAATAAAAAATAATGGAAGTACCTATGATGACGCAGATTTGTAAAACCTTCAGTACCAAAACTTAATCCTGTATCTACTAACTTCACATCTCGCTTTTTTAAAGCATAATCTATCACACATTCGTTTTCTTCAGCCTGAAACGATAATATTCTTAATTAGAAATCATGACTAAATTATATACAATTATATCAAGAACATTTTAAAAGCCTCAAAATTGTGTCAATTTGCACACTTTGGCTATTAATTGAACTTCTGAAGTCTTATTATGATAAATTCAAAATAAAATAAAGTAACTTACTAATACAGAACATGTTGAATACACTAAATAACCGCCTGTTGAACTTTTGTAATTCAAAGAATCAATGGCAGCTAGCAATAATTCTCGTTGTAAAGTGAAACACCTTTGGAGATCTGTTTCATCTTTGCTCATTTTAACACCAGAATCTTTACTAATAACTCCAGTTCCAGTACATGGTGCATCTAATAATACTCTGTCAAAGTTTTTGAATATCTGAAATATGAATCAGGTCGATATATTATCAAGAAACATGTTTCATTGAAAAGTAATTTTTTTCTTTATTTATGTAAAGTGAACAAAATTAGACAAATCGAAAATAATTTAAGTTATTTACCTGAGGTATATGTCTACCATCATATGTTGAAATAACTGAATTAGCAATTCCCATTCTATGAAAATTACCAACAACTGCTTTAGCACGATTTTTATTTACATCATTGGCAATTAAAACTCCAGTATTTTTCATTATAGCAGCTACAATAAAACGTATACAATTTTAAAATAATTAATATCTAATAAATAACTTAATAACAATCAAATTATAAAGTATAATTTACCTATATGTGAAGCTTTACCGCCAGGAGCAGCACACATATCTAAAATATGTTCATTTTCTTGAGGAGCCAAAGCCATAACAGGTAGCATACTGGAAGCAGCCTGGCAAAAAATTATTGTTATTATAACAATTACATAAAAATGTATTCAGTATTATTACCTGAAGCATATAATGTCCAGCCAAATATTCAGGAGTTGCTCCAATTGGAACTGTAGAATTATATACAACAAGACCAACTTTAGACCAATTACCAATAGGATCTAAATTAACCCCACGGTTGATCAATGACTAAATTTAAAAAAAAAATTTATATAAATTCAATAATATAAAAACTTGGACATAGGGCATAAAATAAAAACAAAATTATTTACCTGTGCAAGTTCACGTCTCCTAGTTTTTAAACTATTTGTTCGAATAGTTACTGGACGAGGTGTTTCACTTGCTTCCAAAAAGGCCATCAAATCTTCCAGTGGAAACAAAAGCATAATTTTTTCCATAAGAAATGTATTGTAACTAAAATATGTGCAGAGGTCCTTAAGTAATAAATCAGTGTATTCTTGTCGACTTCTAAAAAGATAAAAATCAATATAATAATGTAATGAACTTAAACAATTTATTTATTTTTATAATATAATTTACCGATTTGGTTCACGGAATTTATTAAAATTAGACAACACTAATAAAATATCCTTTATCCTTTGCTCTACTTCAGGTATAGGAATGTGTTCATCAATCTGATCTTCAGCAGGAAACACAAAAACGTCTTGGCTCGCAACATTAATTTGCATGTTCATTTCCTCATTAGCTTCAGCTCTATAAAGATCAATACATCAATTACTATCTGTTTATTTATTTATATATATATATATATATATTGTTATCTCCTTACTCTTCTATTTTCTTTTCAGCTCTTAATTTTTTTGCAGCCTTTTCAATTGGCAATAATTCATCATCATCACTTTCGTCCACTTTTCTTTTTTTTGTAGCCTTTTTCTTTTTTTTTAGACTAGCATCTTCAATTCCAGATTCATTTGAACTATCGACATCGTCTAATGTGCCTGCCTATGTATAAATTTATAAATATTTCATATTTATTATACATTATTATTTAATAAAGCATATTTACTAAATAGTCATCATCTGAAATGTCTTCATCGTAACTTTCTACACCATTTTCACCATTTTCCTAAAACATTATATACTAATTAAATATTCTATAAATAAGCAATTATTTTTGTAATTTATCAGAATATATATTGTTTTTATTATTATTATTCCAGCAATTTTTGATTTTAAACTAATGTGTACTCAGTGCACATAACACAAATTTACCAATACAAATAAATATGTACTGTTTATAATTAAAAAAGAAAAAAATAATAAGTATAAACATACTTCTAATTCTTCGTCATCAATGTCTGAATTACTATCATAACTTTCAACATCATCATCTAAGAAAAAAAAAAAAACTCATTAAATATATCAAATATAATTATTGATTAGTAAATTTATATCAAACAATAGCATGAAATGTGTTAATTTAATTTCAAAATTGATGATACCTAAATCACTATTTTAATAACATACCCTTTTCAGCAATAACAGGAGTGCTTTTAGATTTCAACCATTTATTATTACTGTCAGAAAATTGTTTAACAATTTCTCTTTTAATTTTTTTTGTTTCTTCTGATTTTCCATTAACATCTGCAATGAGAATAACATAATTGTTTCAAACAATATGTATAGAATATATTTTCTCTAAAACAAGTTTATTTAAAATGTTAAATACAATATGTAATACAATAAACTCCACTAGTATTTATTACAATAAAATCAATAAGTTATGTAAAAGAGTGTTAAAATTAAAAACAAATTAATTATGAAATACATTTAAATTTATAAACTTATTGTAATTGAGATGTTTTTAGGGTATATTATGCTTTTCTAAGTAAATATATGAAGCTGATATTAGCTAACATAAGTCAATTTGATGTATTATTATGATAAACTGAATTACACCACACGTAGGTAATGGTATACATGTCTTTTTAAACATCCAGTCATTAAATAATACATATAATAATTATGTACTCACTTTGAACATCTTCTTCTTTTTTTAAACCTTTCTTTCTTTCCTTCTTTATTAACTTTTTTTCTTCTTTTTTCTTTGTTCTTCTAGAGGCACGTTGTTTTTGTCGATGACTTAACTTTTTTGGCTCATCATCCCCTACAAATTAATATTAATTAGTTTAACTACACAAACACACTAATTTAAAAATCACACTAAATTACTTGGTATATTATAATATTACCTTCCGGTTTTGGTAGCCCCGGTAACATTTTTGGTGGCTTTTGTTTTTTTGCTTTCCGACCGGGTCCTTTGGTTTGTTTTACGACGCCCAACTCTCCAAACTGCGCTTTTCTTCCCATGTTTAAGTAAATAAGTTAAGTATAAAAAAAAAACGAAAATTAACAAAGTACAAAATATTTAGTAATATTATTTATTTGTCTATGGTCGTACGCACTATACACACGAGACACGAGGTTTGATTGTGCTGTGTGATAATAAGAAATGATAAGAGATAAAAACATTCTCAGAGATTCTAAAAGTTTTTTATCATCACGATAAGAGTACTGATTGTATGATACTATAAATCTTGTCAATGTGAGCGCAAAATACCAGAACCTAGATAATATTATGATAACAAGGCGATCTCGAATGATTTTTGAAATTGTCGAATGTAGTCATAGCCGACATTTTCGAGTACTTAGTTTTTTCACTTCACGAAAAGTTTCCTGTGGTGATACCAACTTTAGTTTTTTAAACGAGAATCTATATTGAAAAGTCCATTAATATAAATAGGTATAGAGTATTAATTTTAATCAATTTTGGTACCTACAGACATATTTGATTTCCTTCAACCCGTTGACGAGACATTCAACTTTCAAGTTCTGGTAGGAGGAGAGTAGTAGAGCATCATAAAAGAAAACGCCTATCGCCGTACCGTCATCCAAATTATGCCTTTTGGACTGTTTTTATCCATAGTATTTACAATTAGAATAACCCGGAAACTTTTCGTTCGAATTTCGATTTCAACACGTCAACTTTTTCAGAAAAATCGTCCGTTGTAAGAAGTCACATTAAAACATTTAGGTTCTCGTTTGAAAACCCGTAGTTATTGGTATCGCCACAAGACACCAATACTCCTTAAATGCCGTGAAAAATCTACCTACAAAAAAAAAACAGTATTCGAAAATATCGGTCTTAACTATACGTCAATATTCCAAAAACCAGAGCTTGAATGCATACGAAATTTACCCATAAAAATGGGACGAGCTCACTTAACAATCACTCTGTATATTTATTTATTTATTAATAACTATCTATATTTTTTTAAATCATAATCATAATACATCATTAATTATATCGGTTACCACCGTTCGGCAATGTAACCATAAGGTGTAAACCATAGATACTAGAGATATCTTTAATAACCATGCACGTAACCAGTCCGGCGACGGCGCAGAGTAGCCAAACCGACGAAAAAAAATATATCGTTTTAAACGTTTTTTACGGTGTCGCGGTGTCGGTTGTTCCCTATGCCCGATTAAAAAAAAAAGAAATCATCGAATATAACCGCGAGCTCGGAATTCAATCGAAAATCGGCCCTCGGTTTGTATTACGCGAAACCGTGTACGATAAAAGAATATCGTCGCCTACGCGTATAACCACGTCGTTTCGCGGGGGGGGGGATTTACCGCTCACAGAACGTTTTTCGCGGCCACGGAGGCGCGGCTCCGGCAATTCACACGGCCGCCAATATAATATTACAGATATTGCACGACGCGTTTCAATCGTATCGATCGCGACCGACCGCGCTATCTGTTGATGGGAGAACGTAGCGACGGCGATAATATTATTACCGTCGTTCGCCGGAACCGACGTCTTGCCGTTGCCGGAACCGCGATTCTCCGGTCCGCGCGCGTACAGGTTACGCGCCACGACGACAGCGCAACGGATTCGTCTTGTGTACACCTGTCGCTCGCGTGCCCGCGGTTTCCAGTCGTCTCGGAAACAGGTGGCCGTCCGACGATGTACGCCGGAATATGCACGCGCAGGTACCCACCTACCTAACGGAACACGCGTACGCGGCGCGTAGGCGTTTTCTCTTCCGGGCGCTCGTCGTCGACGCCGTTTCTCGTAATGATAAAAAGGAATTTGTACGTATTTTACAACGTCCTCGTGACGATCGCTGGCCGCCGGACGTTTCGTTTTCGTTTTGTTATTTTTTTTTTCTATTTGTCTCTACCGAGTCGCGAGCTCGTTGTCGGCCAGTGTACGGCTGGCCAGCCCGACAACGGGGCCCGGCGAGGCGGCCAAACAAACCCGAAACGATCCGCCGGCGTCCCCCGTATACGATTTTATCCCCGGCGTATCGCAATATTTTCGCACGAACGATCGGTAAACGGGAATACTGACAGTTAATCGTTTTCGGACCGAGTGCCCCCGGCCCGCCTTCGTAAATCTTAGATAAAAGCGACCGGTAGGCCGTTCAAAGACCGCGTCGTTCGTTTCGCCACATTTTTTTGATTTTTTTTTTTACGTCGTATTAATATTATATTATTATATCCGTTTCGATCAGTGTGAATAAAAACGCGTAATGCGGACAAGAATAAGTTGAAACCGTTGGAATCTATACAAAACACGGGGGGGGGAGACCAAGCCCGGATTTAAAGGGGTCCGGGGAGGACCATGGCCCCCGCAGGGCCTCAGTTTATGCCACAATATATTCTTTATACATATATTTGACCGTCAACTTTGTACCTTGTCACTTTGATATCTTAATGTTTTTTTTTCGTCGTTTTACGATGACTTTGTATTACGATTCGTATTATTAAGTACAGTAGGAACTACTAGTAACTTTGTTGAAAATGGTAAACCCATTTATTCATTTAAATAATACTCGACACTTGCTTGTGCGGGCTTCTGAATTGACAGCCTTGTTGAAAAGTTTGGCCCCGGAGTCTCTATTTGTCGCGGACAGGCCCAACGCAGTGCCGAACGGTATATTGATGGGCGGGATCCGTTTCCATCAAAATGAACCTTTCCCTTTTCCGTCAATGTGTATTACGGATTATATTGTACGATATAAATTGAATTATTTTGGTATTACCAGATACAATTATATATATATAGTATATTGTGACATTTGTATAGATTTAGAACACCACGTATAGGCATACACATTTGTACTGTATGCGTTTGAATGGGTATGACGTGACGATTGAAAAACAGAGTTGAGTATGGAAATTATTGATTTCACGCTACGCGAGAGAATTTCAAGTCGATTTTAAATGCAGTTTTACGTCCCATGAAAAAATTTGAAACGACCCCTGATTTTACAGATCCCGCGCTTTGTTGTCGAATTGTACATTATCTCCACGTATCCCGACCGAAACTTTCAACATCCAGTTCGGCCCTCCGTCACTAAAATGTATATTGATGTAAGAGGTTAAGAACAACTATTTGCCGTCCCTTCAAAAGTTAACAAAATTATTTTGTATTTTTTTGAGGGAAAACGAACGGAAATTCACCGCGTATAAGTATATCGTATCATTGATATTAATTTTACATGGTATTATCATTGATTATTTATCGGTATATTGCGAAAAAGATATTTTCTTAATTTTCTCGTAAAATTAGATGCCGGACAAACGATTTCAAAATATAGGGAAGTTTATATTTTTCAACGCGTTTTTCTATTTCAAATGTTTTTGTTTTCCGTGAAAAATTTCCGCCCACTTGAAAATGCCGCTCTATAGGCAGACACACAAGTGTTTCCATTAAATATTTGACCCTCCTAGAGATTTTCAAGAGGATGCCACACACCCGTTTTGTGCGAGATAAAATACACTCACTTTGATTGCACATAAGTAATATGTGTATAAATAAAAAATATACACAAGTAGACGATATTTTCGAGAGCACCAAGAATATTTTTTATGAAAAACTTTTTTTTTTTTTAAAAAAAGTGTCGTTTGAAATTGTTAAACTTCTTTAAGTTATATTGAAATATAAGTTGATAATAATGGAAAATCTATGCGTAGGGCCCTTGGAAATAACGTTCTTTGAAAAAGAATATATTGTATTTTAGCTCTAAAATAAATCCGGAGTGGTTTTTTTTTTTCTATAAAAGAGTGAATTGATCTAAACTAAGAGTATATTTGTACATGTTTGTATACGACATAGGTTTTTATTCTGGATATTTTCATTTTTAAGCGAAATATGACCATTTTTAAATATTTCACATATACGAATTAATAAAGTTTTATAATTGAGACACGTACAATGTACATTCATTTCAGATTCTGATGATGTTTATTTTTTTATTTTTTATTTTCTGTGAACGACTTTTCTTCCTGAAATTTCGCTCCGATTTTTAAAGTAGCATTTTTTTTTGAAAGGAAATTCGGCTGAGGCGGTACTTTGGGAAGGTAATTTCTTTCCCGGAGTTTTTATAATAAATGGGAAAAAACTTAGGAAAAACGGGAAAATGTACGAAATAATGTATTATTCGTAAACATCACGGCTTTTCAAAATATGTATAACCGAACTCTGCTCATAATCGTTACTAATGATTAATCGTTGTGTACAGATATGTACATACAATTCTCCTCTATATCCTACCTCCCCGATTTCGCACTTACAACAGCGGCACACTCGTCGTGCGAAGTATGTCCGTTTTTTTGAATTTAAAACGTTTTCGATTTTCGCCGTATGGTCTCGTGTCCGTCGAATTAGTAATATTATGGTATTATATTATAACGTTTTGGGAATATTATCCGTTAAATTGAAAAATATCGTACGAGTCACTGGGGCACCGGAGTAAAATAAAACGTCTGTATAGGTCCGGGATAGCTATTAAAAAAAAAAAAATACTTTTACTCGAGTCGTATATACCGGATTATAAATTCATCGCGCTGCTCTCGTACACAACAACCGGCCTTTTTTGTAACGCTGAGTTACGCACTCGTCTTACGTATACCTTTATAACATATTTTATCTACCCGCCTAATAGGTGCATAATATATGTATATACAGGGTGATCGATCTATAGTAAGGCACTCATTGTCTCGGAAAGTATTTACTGTTTTCGGGATTTGTTTCGCAGAACGTTTAGGAAACAAGCTGCTCTAAAGCTTTACGTTTATGTTATTTTTCGTCAACCTTATTTTCGGGGGTAAAACCCCTTTGGCGGAGAGTAGTGGAGCATCGTTTGTGTGGCGACACGGTGGCACGCAGCGTTTAAATAATGTCACCACTACAACAACTTTCCCTCGACCCGAACTTAAAAGTGGATTATCTCGTCAACGGCGGTTGACGGAAATCAAAAATTTCAACATGGAAATTTATTTAAACTAATACTCCGTCTTCAAAAGTAGAATCATTTTTTTGAAAAAACCAAAAGCAGTTAGTGGGTTTATGCACAGAAACGAGGGCGACGAAAAGTAACATAAACGTAAAATTGTAGAACGGCTTGTTTCTCGGACGTTCTGTAAAACGAATTCCGAAAAAAG